ATAAACTGAAGCGTAGTAGGGCGACGTGAAAATCAGTGACAAACAATTTCTTTCCGTAGTTCAATGCCTAAGTTAAATATTTCCACATCCGGATCTTTTTTCAGCGTCCGGATCTTTGAGAGAAATGACTGAGGTTCAGAACGTCAAAGTTTGGTAAAGAATAGTTAGTTACGTGAATAACAGAGCCACAAACGAACGGATACGTGCACAGCGGATAAAGGCTTGAGACGATTCCAATAACTGCAAAATAATAAATAAAGAAAGTCCTCCTGGAATCCAAAAAATACAGTAATATTAGCTAGTCTCCTAAAAGCTGCTAAGAAATGGTATGGCTCCATTCCATTCGACCTAATGCAAAGAAACCGTACACACAAGGCCAAGGACACAGAGCAAAGGTCCGCACGTTCAATGAAAATCTGTGAGTTCAGCTATTTCATTTCCGCAAACTGGCCACTCAGCAAAGTTATAGATCTTTCATGTGATCGAAACAGCCAATCAAACGATAGGAATTTTACACGTGACGGGATACGAAATTAGAGTTGGTGTGCTAAGCTGTCAACAGCTTTGCGGGTAAGGTGTTCGAATATCACAGCTTTTAAAGTACTTTGAAGCAGATCTGTAGGTTGTGCTTGGCAAGCTAAAAGAGTTATATATTGTTGAAAGGAGATGGGCCGAAAGCAGACATTGATCTTAATGACGACACATCAAACAACATTGATTCAAGAACTGGGAAACAGGATTGAACTTTGTTTTGAATGGGTTACTATTACTTTGTTAGTCTCCGTAAGTGGCAGGAAGCATACAGAGAAGCAATTCGAGTTGGCGGAAGTATCGTCAAACAAAATGTTGTGCCAATAAATTGGATTAGACAAATAAACAGCTGAGAAAGTAACACTCAACAGCATCTTATCGATAGGAAGTTGTGTTATAAATCTTTGTGTATCAAGATTATCAAAACGAATTAATAACAACTATTAACCAATGATATAGCCATATAGGCGAAAAACACCACATCAAACTAGGCAATGTAAGAATTTATTGGGTCGCCGTCATTCACGGGCTTCCCTGTGGCATCAAAAATTTGCACAAGATCATCCTCAATGGTCGAATGGAGCAGGCGCTCCTTCATCAATTTCTTATTCCACAGCAAATGTTACACTTTCGCGCGGCTTTATTTACGCGATTCATACATGATATATTTAAAATGTATGTCTACAGTTAAATCTGAGGGCGCGGCAAGTTATTACATTATTGTGATTCACAGTTTATGATTCTTAATTTAAAATTTAGTTGATGGCGCTTCCACTAAATCGCTCACCCAAATTTTAAGAAAATTATTGTAAAAAGGCCCTGAGGGTATTAACGGGTGATACTCATAAAATATTTGTTTCGACCGTCAACGAGTCCAACTCGGCACGCGTTCTGGTAGGTTATAAACCTACAATAATGAATAAGGGTATGAAAGTAATTTAATTCGGTGCATTTTGGACGCGAAGTGCGCACCGGAAGACAAAATAGATGTAAAAGGTTTACAATGTTAATCAAATTTGACAAAATGATAAGCCGATCAGTGCCGACCAGTAAATTGCAAGCTGTACAAAAATTTAAAATTTTGATGAGCGCGTTACAGTCCAACTATTGAATTGTAGCGCAATGCGTTACTGTACCGCGCCGCGCACTCAATGAGGCTTCTCACAGCTAGATCGGCGAGATGCGCTACTGTGCTGCGCCGAGCTGCGATGAATTGACATCGCCAATTAGCTATTAAACTGTCCAATAGTGCATCGGGATATATTAACCGAGCCTTCTCGCTTGCAGTGGTGCGAGACCGCCGAAGGCGGCAAAGGAAACAAGCGCGTCACGCAGTACGCGTATACACATCGCTATGTCAATGATCCGCCTGTATCGTAGAAACTCTACAGGGGTGAAATTGTAGCGCGATGCACTACTGGGTCGCGCCGCGCATCAAATAATTCTTCTCACAACCGCAGATCGGCGAGATGCGAAGGATTGACATCGTGAAACAAGGGTGAAACAACGATGGGAATCACGACGTGATACAAGTGCTTTCCACTTTCGCGCCATTTATAGTGTACTGTAGTGCAGGTGTGTTTGTTTCACAAGCCAGATGGCAGGTGCAGCAGGCGCGAGCTATAACTGCAAGCGCGAAGGCTCTGATTAGAGTAAGGATTACATTGCATTGCATTGTAAGCATGTAACATGTAAAAGTTTGTAGTGAAGTTTTAAGGTAACAGCTGCTAAGCACTTGTATGTTGTAGGTTTATAACCTATCAGGACGCCGAGTTGGATCGGACTCGTCGACGCGGTCCTGAAACAAATAGTATCACCCGTTAACTTTGACGGATGTTACTCGTCTAAATTTCTTCGAAGTAGCGCGCGCCGCTTTCTTCTCGATGGCAAGAGCTACGAAGTAGCGCGCGCCGGGCCAGATCATTAACAATGGTCAACCGTTAGCTGAGCACCCCCAAGAAACCTTACCATTAGGGGCCTAACTTCGGAAGTAAAAGAAATAGAAACATTTGGTTTTCAACAAAATGTCCGTCTCGTAAAACTAAAGTTAGCTCTCCAGGAGCCAAATTCAAAACAATGTAGATTTTCAATTCTTGGGAAAAGTCATATATATTTTAGGCCTTATAAAACTGCGCTGCTTTAACTTTGCGGAATCTTGTTCTCTGATTGGCTGAATCGTATCACGTGGTACGTGGTTGTAGGTTTACAACCTACCAGGACGCGCGCCGAGTTGGACTCGTCGACGGTCCTGCCAGCGATGGTCAACACCAAAAGCGCGGCGTACTGCGCGCGACCAACTATTTCGCCCGTACAATATATGGAACAGATATTTTACGAGTATCACCCGTTAAGGTACGTGGTACAATTGCATTCTTGGAATAATTGAAGCGTGCAAATGCAATGAACTAACGAGCGCGCGCGGAGTTCAACAATGAACAAGCTGTGAAAAGGCGATCACCCTGTAGTAATATCGCTAGCCGGTAAGTGGTAAGGTCTGCTGGGCCGCACAGTTTTACCTGGGGACCTCAGGCTATCATGTTCATAACACATAAACAAATAGAGATTCGGCGGAATAACAGGCTGAGCGCGGCCCGGCCCAGTAACGCACAGTTAAGTTAAAAATTGCAAATAAATATGTCAACTCTTCCAGATTGAGCCCTTTGGCTAGAGAATATTTTCTTAGATATTTTGGACAGTTTTTAATATTGGTAATGCTAATGAATTTTAATTGATTGATATGTAATATTTAGGCCCGTGGCCAGTTAACACTATTCCAGATTGTTGCGATGCATGAATTAATTCGATGCGATTGTCAACACCTGAAAAGTTAGCCACATCCTCGAGTACACAGGCCATCCAGCCTTTTCGGGTTTTCACTCTCGATCGCTTTCCATGGTTAGGTTTCCACTCCAGTAGAAAATCTGTCTCTGGCATTCTTACAACGTGTCCATACCACCGTAGTTTTGTAGAACCGATGAAAGTGTCTATAGACTTTATGCCAGCACGCCTTTGAACTTCATCATTGGAGACATGGTAAAACCACTTTATCTTCAAGATTCTTCTCAGGGATTCAGATGGAAAACCTCAAAACGCTTCATTTGCTTCTTAGTAGTGTTCCAGACTTCAGCTCCTTATAACAGGATAGTGATAAAAGCAGCCTTTAGATGCGGATCTTGGTAGGTGTTTTTTAGTTCTACTGTTCCATATCTTCCAGAGCTGGTGGAACGTGCCATTGGCACGCTGGATCCTGAGGTCAAGATCTCGGTCGATAGTACCATTCCCACTAATGTTGGCACCCAAATAGACAAAGTTACTGACCTGTTCAACAGGTTTCCGCTCCACTGTCAGCTCAATAGTGTCTAGACAGAAATTGAATATGGGGCTGTGGATGTGATTGGTTTCATATACTTATAGAAAACGTAGTATTCTGCAGATTTGAAGGAAAATATGCGTTTTGTTGCGGCATACAGCAAAAATTGCGATTTGTCACAGAGAATGGGAGAAATCGAGATTCCTCACATGCCACAATTTCCTTAATTAAAAAATTATTACCTACTTGTTCGAGGATTCCATCACCAAAATTTGAAAATTCGATTTTTGGGAGGCCACACCCAATCAAAATTGAATTGCTTATACTCGTGTTTGCGAACATGTTAGAGACTCCATTGTTACATATTGTAATTATGTATAGGTCATTTAATCCTGAATATAATCTGAAAAGATGGTGCAAAACGGATTGAAAATGTCAAAGTTATCAAGCAATTTGTTTATCTCGTTAGCAAAATAGATTGGGTAATCAATGATTAGCCCATTACGCAGTGGCGTAACGTTGCCTGTTGGCGCCCCCCTGCCGAAAAAAGCGCCCCCCTGTTGGCGCCCCTCCCCTTTTGGTGCCCCTCCCTAAAATTGAACAAATTAGGTGATTTTAAAGAATACGCTGGTAAAATCTCTAAAAAAGTGTGTATCTAGAGCAAAACGCGCAGTTTTGCTAGTACTTTAGTTAAGTTTTCGAAAGTGTCCCACATTCAAACGACGATTTGGCGCCCCCCTAAGACGGCGCCCCCCTGCACAGCGGGGTCAGCAGGGCCTTTCGTTACGCCATTGCAATTATGACACCGTAATTGGGCTCTCTGCACGATTCCAGGACAAACGTAATTTAAATGGCCAAACACAATTCAAACAAATTTGGCTCGATCCGACTACTGTATCCAAACTATCATAAAAAAGCGAAAAATAAAACCTTCATTTGAAAAAAATGAACACAAATATTTTTCGATTTGCCAAATTCCTCGAACCAGTGTAAGTCATACCAGAAAGAATTATTTTGATTGGGCCTTCAGTGACTGAGCTATTTAGGCCAACGTATGGGTACTGACTTTTGGCCCCCTGTATTATTGTAGATGTTTTATTACATCTAATATTATTTTTGCTTTATTACATCCAATATATTATAAAATTCCTACTATTAGGTGAAATGTAAGGCCATGCTGTTCTCAACGAAAGGAAGAATGTAACTGACGAACTATGAGCTGGTTCAAAGCATCACTTAGCCAATATGCTCAGGATGCCCTCAGTCAAGCTCAAGCATCTATTGATAGGGCTCTTGAAATAGAGCCGGCTCAGGACCCATTATCAGGTAATGTCTTCATTTAAGTATTTACTATATAAGCCAAAAATAATGATTTATTGAAAAATTTATGTTGAACATGAGTCTGTTAAAGGTTACAATCATTTAAAAATGACAATCAACTTGCTTCATATTTGTATGTTAGTTTGAAATTCCAGGAAGTGCACCCGTACCTAAACCTAAGCCAAAGAAGCCTCGCACACCACCACCATCTAGACGATCAGAAACAGTTAGAAGCGCTGACAGAGCAAGGATTTCTGACAAACCAAGGAGTTCTGAGAAGCCTACAGCTGCTGCTGATAATTGGACATCATGGGGTGCTAGCACTGTGAATAATATTTTTGAGAGTAAGTTCAGAATTTTACACCAGTATGATGACACAAATAACTTTTTCTTTACATAGTGATTATATTATCACTTCGAGATGGCCAGGCCTACTCTCATGCTGTCTATAATAGGTGATGATTAACTCTGAAAAACTAGGGACAACTGGGGAATGATCCCAGAGCCTCGACATTTCGCGTATCTTGCTCTACCAATTGAGCTACTGACCCTGATTCTCAGAGCGAAATCACCACTCATATACAGCACAATTTCATGCTTTGTGTGGAATATCATTTATCAGTTATTAAGAATATATATTTGCATGTATCCACACTATATTTACATTACACGTTCAACGTTGAACGTGCAATGTAAATATAGTGTGGATACATGCGAATATATATTCTAAATAACTGATAAGTGATTACATTAGTTAAAAATGAATATTAATTTTCACTGCTGAATGGGCTTCTTTTCATAGTAATGATAACATAAGGTTGTTCCAAAAATTTAGATTATTGATATCATTACCATTATTCAGATTCCTTTTCGTCTCCTGGCGAAGAAAGTATTCAGAAAAGGACTCCTCCAACTAGAAAGAAATCTAATGCATTAAAACTAGGAGGACACAAAAGAACATCCCCTACCAACAATTTGCGCGGTGACAAATCACCAAAGCCTTCAAGTAGACGTACAGATAGACAATCTCAAAAGACATGCAGCACAACTGGTCTAAATCTTGTAGAGATCAACATCAACGATCCACCTGTTGAGACTGAAGATCTATTGAAAACTCACAAAGATTTAAATGAAGACGTGGGTACTGAAGAGCCCATCAGCACTCCAATTTCAGAACAGGAGTTGTCTTCAACTAAACAATTGGAAGCTGATCATGAGCCGTCTGAAAAACCAATCAATGATGCGCTGTTAAATGAAAATGAATTTACAGCTACCTCTCTCATTCCTACACCTCTAATGAATGTTTCAAGCTCCGGAACTCTAAAATCTGTATCCAGTTCTGGTTCATTGCAAACAATGGAAAACTCAGAATCAGTTCCTCCTGCTGACAAAGCAAACGACAGTCTCAGGGCAGGTGATGTTCCTGATAAAGACCCTACCACTCCAACGTTATCAACATGCAGCTCTAGTTCTGCCCTCTCAAAAAGTCTCATGGTCAACAGTTCGTCTTCAAACAGCTCTGAACAATCTGCTGCAATGTCTTTTTGTACTATAACTAATGAGCCAATACAACAGCTTGTTGTAGATGTTGTTGATGAGGTGTCAGAAGATTGTGTTAGTGTCCCGTCTCCAGAACGTGGTGGTTGGTCTGAAGACGAGATTGACGAGATTGATGTCGACAAAGCAAGCAGTGACCAAGATAGTAGGTCATCATTTGAAGTCACAGAACACAAGAGATGTTTGAGTATCGGCAGTACAGCTAGCTCTTCAATTCTTATGTTGCAGTCACCCTATGATACCACAGATGGAGACAAAAGTGATAAGAGTGATATCAAGAGTGATAAAAGTGATGAGAAATCAGATGAAGATTCAATGAAAACCCCAACTGACCTACCTGCTCCTCCGACACCTACATTGGAACTTGCACATCAAACAATCGTGGAGGAAGTACCAGCTAGCAGTGTTCCTGCACGAATCATAACTTCTCCAACCCACAGTGATCAGAGTGATCTCATGGTTATTTCAGAACCAGACACTGCTTCAAACAACGAGCTTATGAAACTCAAGGAAATACTTCATGCAAGGGAACAGAGGCTGTTCAGGATGAATCATGAGTATGTTCAAGTTCAGGATGAGCTGCAAAGTGAACGACAAAGAAGTCATAATCTTGAGCAGAATCTTAATCTTTTGAGTCAGAAGCATACTGTTTCTGTGGAGAGGCTTGAGGATGAACTGGCTGCTATGGATGATCTTAAGAATCATCTGGAGGAAGAGATACAATCTATGAGAAATCTTGGCGATATAAATGAGCTGAAATGTGAACTAGATGAAAAGGATCAGCTCATAGAGGAGTTAACCATGGAGGGAGAAAAGTTGGCCCAATCAAGCTTTAACAGCAGCAATAATGTTAAAAAACTTCGACAAAAAGAAAAAGAGGACGAAAAAATCATCAAGGATCAGTCAGAGAAAATAGAGTCCCTCTCAAGAGAGATTGAGCAATTGAAAGGGAAGATGAAAGACCAGCAGGCAACCGTTCATGAAAATGAACAAAACATATCAGAACTGAACTCTATTATAAGCTCCCAAAGTGAAGAGCTCTCAAACGCCAGAACAAAACTAGAAAACTGCGAGTCAGAAAATCTTGCCTTGAAAACCAAAGTGGACGGTTTCCAACTAGAAATAAATTCTCTTCGAGATAGAAACGCTCAAGCTGAATCACGGGCCAACCAAGAAACCCTCAGTGCAAACATAAAAGCAAAAGAACAAGCCCAAGCAGCGGTGGAACAGCTGCAAGCCAGCACTGACTTGACCATCAAACAGCTAAACTCCCAAATCGAGGAGCAGCAGGAGGTGATTGGTCGGTTGGAACAGCAAGCTGTCTGGCGAGAACAACGTCAAAGGGACCAGATTCAGGAGCTGCACCTACGCGTTGAGGATGCAGATGGGCGCAACCAGGATATTTCAACTTCGATCACTGCGTCCACACAGCCACTTCTCAGGCAGATTCAGCTGTTTAAGGAATCTCTTGCTAATCAGCAGGCTAATTGGGAGAGAATTGAGAATGAGTTGAAGGATAAGCTGGATCAGGCAAGGTCGGAGTTATCTGGTTCAGGTGAGCTTCAGTTTTATTCCATTCTTATCTGAAATTAATCTACAATAATTTGAAATGAAAATTACTAAGTCAGGCTTATTTATTAGTTATGATTTTTTGTTTGTTTTAAGGTCCATAGTTTTAAATGAGAATGAACCTTAAAATTAATTAGTATTCGACGAATTCTAGAAGGCTAGTTGTATCTTTGTAATTTTCACAGTCACTGAAACCCTGAACTATTTTCAGAGATGGAGAAACGGGATTTGTCAGACCGACTGCAAGTAACAAAGAACAAAGTTTCCACCCTACAAACCCAAGTTGACAACACCCGGGCTGAGCGCAACGAACTAGAAGTAACCCTCGAGGTCGTCCAAAACAAACTCTCAATCCTGGAGGAAGAGCGCAAGAAAGACACCAACAAATCCGACAGTATAAAATCACAATTTGTGCAATCTCTAGAAGAGAGCCAGAAGGAGTGTGATCATCTCCGTGAGGAGTTACTCCGCATGCAATCATACGTTCGGGATCTGGAATCCAATAAATCAGTGATGAGTGAGGTGGAAGATATTGCCAGCAGGAGTAGTACTCCCCCTATAGAGTTCACGTCTCAGACTAATATCCTGGAGAGATCCTTATTTGGAAGTAGCACTCCAATGTCGCCGACTCAGTCTATACCTTCGCATTCTTCGTATCTCATGGAGAAGATGGCTTCTCAGCTCAAACAGTCACAGGTAAGGGGTTTATGTTTTGATTGTAGCGTTCATTTTGATTATTTTGGGGGGATTATTTTTTGTCTACTGATCGAAACAAACATGGTTCATTTCCTCGCCAGTATCCAGATATATAAGTTACCTGATAATTAAACCATCTTGAATTTAAGACGAGCCATAATATTGTAATAGTGGTTGTCATAGAATAGAGATAATATATAAGCGTTTTATCGAGTTAGGCGATGGTCAGGGGGGCGGGGGAACCCCCCCCCCCCATGGTGAGATTTTAAGCTGTAAACTGATTCACTGTTGGCACATGTCCATTTCTAATACAATTAACGTTGATAAAAATAACCTCATGTGTTTGAGCCGATTGGCTCGGTCACAACACGTACTCAAATTACATGTGCTTTAGATTTTAACTTACAATTCACTTTAACATGTCAGTTCATCCTAAACAATGGTTTACATTTTTTACGTCGAATTTAACTAAGATCACGCACAAGATGTCATCCTGACATTCCCTTCAAATTGAACTAATATCATACCACTAACAAGATATTATCCCTCTCAGAGTGAACTAACAAGATATTACCCCTCTCAGAATGAACTAATATCATACCACTAACAAGATATTACCCCTCTCAGAGTGAACTAACAAGATATTATCCCTCTCAGAGTGAACTAATATCATACCACTAACAAGATATTATCCCTCTCAGAGTGAACTAATATCATACCACTAACAAGATATTACCCCTCTCAGAGTGAACTAATATCATACCACTAACAAGATATTACCCCTCTCAGAATGAACTAATATCATAGGGGGGGGGGGGGGGGGCCAATGGCATAAATGGAGAAAATGGAGAATTACTCATAGGTTTTTCCATTTTCTCCATAGAAATAGTCTCCATTTTATGCCATTTTATGCCATTTTATGCCATTGAAAACCTGAAAAATTTAGAATTTCGAGAAAAATTATTTTAAAAAAAGATATTTTCGGCCAATAATGAACAGGGTATCATGAAACATGGAGAAAAGTGGTTTTCAGAAAAACTTTGAAAAATTTTGACTTAGAAAATTTTCGGTCCAAGTCATTTTCGATACGTACCTCCCGTATCGAGAGCTCCCGATTCCGAGCTCTTGTTGCAAAGGGGAGGCCTGCCTTCCGAGATCGCATTATCTCGAGTCCAAAATTGTGTATCGAGGGGAAGGTGTGGACTTCGAAAAAAATATTTTCGGCAAATAATGAACAGAGTAGCATGAAACGTGGAGAAAAGCGGTTTTCAGAAAAATTTTAACCGAAAAAATATTTTCGGCTTATAATGAACAAGGTAGCATAAAACGTGGAGAAAAGTGTTTTTCAGAAAAACTTTGAAAAATGTTGACTTAGAAATTTACCCCTCGGTACACAATTTTGGACTCGAGGCTTCCTCCTGGTAATACGTTCTCGGAAGGCAGACCTCACCTTTGCAACACGAGCTCGGAATCGGGAGCTCTCGATACGAGAGGTACGTATCGAGAATGACTCGGGCCGGAAATTTTCTAAGTCAAAATTTTTCAAGGTTTTTCTAAAAACCACTTTTCTCCACGTTTCATGCTACCCTCTTCATTATTAGCCGGAAATATTTTTTTAGTTTTTCGGTTTATCGAAGTCTGCACCTACCCCTCGAGGCTTCCCCTGGTAATGCGATCTCGGAAGGCAGGCCTCCCCTTTGCAGTGCGAGCTTGTTTCGACTTTCGAGGATGTAGGTCTCACTTCTCAGTGCCTATTACTCTCCCCTATTACTCACTCCTGCTGTAGCCTGTAGAAATAACTTGACACTAGGCTTGAGTAATTATGAGTTTGCCTGAAGTGTGCCTCTACTAACCTAGTGTAAGCATCTAGTAGCCTACTATGAGCTTTCATAAGCTTGTTACGCCCCTAGTTAACGTAAATAAACATGTTAGGATGTCCAGTTTAGGTGTTAAATGGTGTTAAAGATGAAATTTCGAAGACAAAATTCATGGCATAAAATGGAGAAAATGGAGAATTACTCATGGGTTTTTCCATTTTCTCCATGGAAAAAGTCTCCATTTTATGCCATTTTATGCCATTTTATGCCATTGGCCCCCCCCCCCCAATATCATACCACTAACAAGATATTACTCCTCTCAGAGTGAACTAACAAGATATTACCCCTCTCAGAGTGAACTAACAAGATATTACCCCTCTCAGAGTGAACTAATATCATACCACTAACAAGATATTACCCCTCTCAGAGTGAACTAATATCATACCACTAACAAGATATTACCCCTCTCAGAGTGAACTAACAAGATATTATCCCTCTCAGAGTGAACTAATATCATACCACTAACAAGATATTATCCCTCTCAGAGTGAACTAATATCATACCACTAACAAGATATTACCCCTCTCAGAGTGAACTAATATCATACCACTAACAAGATATTACCCCTCTCAGAGTGAACTAACAAGATATTACCCCTCTCAGAGTGAACTAATATCATACCACTAACAAGATATTACCCCTCTCAGAGTGAACTAACAAGATATTACCCCTCTCATAGTGAACTAACAAGATATTACCCCTCTCAGAGTGAACTAACAAGATATTACCCCTCTCAGAGTGAACTAATATCATACCACTAACAAGATATTACCCCTCTCAGAGTGAACTAACAAGATATTACCCCTCTCATAGTGAACTAACAAGATATTACCCCTCTCAGAGTGAACTAACAAGATATTACCCCTCTCAGAGTGAACTAATATCATACCACTAACAAGATATTACCCCTCTCAGAGTGAACTAACAAGATATTACCCCTCTCAGAGTGAACTAACAAGATATTACCCCTCTCAGAGTGAACTAATATCATACCACTAACAAGATATTACCCCTCTCAGAGTGAACTAATATCATACCACTAACAAGATATAACCCCTCTCAGAGTGAACTAACAAGATATTATCCCTCTCAGAGTGAACTAATATCATACCACTAACAAGATATTATCCCTCTCAGAGTGAACTAATATCATACCACTAACAAGATATTACCCCTCTCAGAGTGAACTAATATCATACCACTAACAAGATATTACCCCTCTCAGAGTGAACTAACAAGATATTACCCCTCTCAGAGTGAACTAATATCATACCACTAACAAGATATTACCCCTCTCAGAGTGAACTAACAAGATATTACCCCTCTCATAGTGAACTAACAAGATATTACCCCTCTCAGAGTGAACTAACAAGATATTACCCCTCTCAGAGTGAACTAATATCATACCACTAACAAGATATTACCCCTCTCAGAGTGAACTAATATCATACCACTAACAAGATATTACCCCTCTCAGAGTGAACTAACAAGATATTACCCCTCTCAGAGTGAATTAACAAGATATTACCCCTCTCATAGTGAACTAACAAGATATTACCCCTCTCAGAGTGAACTAACAAGATATTACCCCTCTCAGAGTGAATTAACAAGATATTACCCCTCTCATAGTGAACTAACAAGATATTACCCCTCTCAGAGTGAACTAACAAGATATTACCCCTCTCAGAGTGAACTAATATCGTATCAAGAGCAGATCAGGAGTTTGTCACTAAGCAAAGCGTCCTTGAGCGCGGAAATTACTAACGTCTCCAAGAAGTGCGGTGAACTGGAACAGAAGATCGTGGACCTGCCTTTGATTAAGAAGGAGAATAAGGTGGGTATTTATTATATTATTTATTTAATTGTTTGTTAAATTGTTTGTCAAATAATTTTTTTAGAAACACACCATACAAACTGTACATAAAAATTAAGGTAACGGTACTGAAGATATTATGACACTATTCCTCCCGTTGTTATAAAGACTTTGTTTTGTTGTTAAACAATTCCCTTCCACAAATATAAATTTTTTAGTAAAAAACACGCAGAGTCACTCTAAGTCTAAAAGAAAATGAACCCTTCGCACGACTTTGGATCGGATTAAATTTTGGCTCAAGAATTGGATCATGAAAAAGTACATTTAAAAAAGTACATTCACATACCCTTATATACCAAACCAATTTGGTGTAAAAATACAACATTTACCACATTTTGGTTATATCGTACATTGTGCTAACATTTATACCACTAAGTTTTATTATTACTGTAAATTATATAATTGTGAGATGTACTGAGTAACACACACAACAACAGTAGTGGTTCGATGTGGTGAAAGTTACTGATACCATTATGGCTGAAGTGTATATTATTATACATATTTATTTATTATTATGTATATTTTATGTAGGCTATTTGCATACTTTTGTTCGTGTTGGACGGAGAAATGATACGACCTTGTAATCACAAAAAATCGAAAAAGTATCCATTGAAATTTAAAATCAATAATGATTCTAAAATGTATAATCATTGCTTACACTGAAACTCATAACATTATAACTGATACGATCTCTCTAAAGTGAACCTCAGTTCCGCTTACAGGCAGGCTGCAGATGTGGAGAGGGTCATCGCCATTTCTCATTTATTTTTGGAGGTTCAATTTTCGCTATTATATTGAAGGCTGGTAAAATAGCAATAATCATCAATTAATTTCGATGATTTGACCATTCACTAAAACTTGTCCATCGATAAATGGTAGTGAAGGCGATTTTTTTGCTATCATAGCCATTTATTTAATTCTTAAACTTTTTAGCCATTTCACCAAGCGAAAATTACATTCTCCATTTCTTTTTTTTAAAGTGGCGATGATTGTTCCAGACATATAGCACTAATCACAAAACAGTACAGAGAAATCATCATAAATTTAACAATTCTTCGTGAGCATTAATATTCTTATTTAATAAGCACACTTTGCTTACACCCAAAAGATAACACAGTGTGAATATACGTGAGCAGTAACTGAGTAACTTGGAATTTTTCATATACACAAACTACAATGAGTCCATGATGCGGTTTTTTCTTCCAAAGGAATCTGTTCCGGTAATTATAATCTTTGGAATGATAAACTGCACCGGATTTGATGTTTGAGCAGTTGCGGTGATAATGTTCATTTCCATTCCTTCGCCTGGTATATCTTGTGTGATATCTGAAGCTAACCCTAGAACTGCAAGTAGATTACTCAGCCTCAATTGGAGGCTAATGAAGAGTTGTTTTGTTTTGGTAAATAATTGTTTTTTGTCCCCGTTTATAAGCGGATTTATGACTGAGTTGATGGGTAGTATGATTAACGAGAATATGGGATATGTTGAGGTTGCATCGATCTGTCCAAGGGAATGTAATCCACAAACAAAAATAAACGGTACCCAGCATATGAAATCTGTTAATATAATCATCGCAATTTTTCTTTGGTCCTTTTTCCTTTCTCGAACCAACTGCATTTGATCGATTTCTTCCAGTTCCACAGTTTCAGCCGATGTTTTTGTTTTGACAATGATGAGTCCATAGCAAAAGCAAATTGTTAAGAAGCAGAACAAGTTGACTCCTAAGCAAAGCCACACAAAGGCTTTTTGTGGATCATTGTTCTGGACGAAGTACTTGAAAAGACAAACTCCGTCTGTACCATAAAAATGGATTTTCTTTCGGTCAAGAGTCCCTTTGTTGTAATCACTTGTGAACATTTCGTCAATCAGTGAGTTTATGCGTTGCCATGAGGTATCATCTTGTAACCTTAAATTCCCATAGAAACTTTTTATAACACCGATGTGAGTTTTTTTATCCACATACGGTAAAAACAATTTTACATTAGGGTTGTATGTCATTCCGTTAACAAACAAATCTTCAAAAGAGGATAGAAGAGGCGCAATAGCTATCATAAGGCTTGGAACAGTAACAATCATAATCAAACCAGCGATTTTCGATAAAAGGTTTTCTAGCATACTAAACTTTAAATTAAAAACTTCGAACAAACGGAACATGCTGAATGAAGTCATCGAAAATAGGGATATTTGTGCGCCAAATGTACTTACCACTCCTAGCGATGAACACATGGTGCTTGATAACCAGACATATTGCTGCTTGCAGTATCCTTCTCCATAAATGATGGAATCCATAATTGCAATGCAAAGCAGGTAAATACCTGTGAGAAGATCTCCGATATTGATGAGCAGCGCAAATGTTGTATTGATCACAGTGTTGTTTACTCCAATGTTTTTGGATAATGATATAAAATTGCTGATCATACGCGTAATATTTAGTATGACTGCAACAACCCCAATGATCCAACTGACTACTTTAAATAAAATCCCTGAAATTATTTGCCTACCACAGTCTTCACCACATTCATCCGAGTAGTCAGAGCATTGAACAATGCCGTTGCACATTTGTGTGCTGGGAATGAAGTCTCTGGTCAAATTACAAGAAAAAACGTTAGAACAGTTTGTTTCATCGGAAAGGTCTCCACAATCGTCCACTAGATTACAAACTTTGTCATGAGTTATACAATGTTCGTTTTCACAACGAAATAGTTCCTTTTGTAAATACCTATTTGTAACACTTATAAAAGCTAAACTGGTCCCATCACGTGTGACAGATATAACATTATCTTTAAAATTTTCACCTCCACAGGCTTTCGTGAGTTTGGCGACTTTTAATGGACAAACCAGAGAGTGTAGACATCTTTTTTTGCAGGTCATATAAACGTATTGCTCACCATAAAAGCTTTTGCATTCATGTTTTTTCTCTGGTAGAAAGATTGACAACGCACTTACTCCTAAAATGCCGGTGTCTGGGATTTGGAAGGTTTCATGAGAGCACGATGAGATGTGCTGACCCATACTAAGAGCAATTCCAGGGAGACAGTATGACACAAATTTTGTCGGGAAATTCTTAATGTCCTTCCATAGGCGTTTATGATAATACGCTTTACTTATAACATTTTTGGATGGTCTTGTTTTTTTACAAGCAGCTTCTTCCACTGAGCAGGTGTTTAAGCCATTACACATACTCTCCAGTTTCACAAATCCAGTGGTCTCTGGCCCACACTTGAATACATTTTTACAAAAATGACCTTCTGGCAAGTATCGGAACGAAGTGCCAACTATGCAGGTCGGCCAGAGGTTCAGTTCATCTTCACCTCCGGTACAATCCTGAAATCCATCACTAAGCCACGATATGGGCAGACTCAGAGGCATATCATGACGATATCTGCGGGCACACGTTCTTTCAGTCATTTCATGACATTCCTCCATATTTTCATCACTATGATCAACACAATCAAAATTTCCATCACAAATTTGATGTTTATGAACCTTGCATCGGAAAGAAGGTTCTTTGCACAGTACATCGAAATGGTCATCACACAAAGAGTTTACCAGAGGTAAATCCATACAAATGATTGTAGGAGACAAAGTTGTCATAAATCCGCTTATAGGACATGTCAAGACAGCTCGCTTTGCGTCCGTGCAATTCATTTGGTCAAAATAATTATTGCATAAAGGGATGACATTATCATCGTAGAACATAATATGTGATATATTTATGACAGAATTTATGACAGAATATATGGGGTATTTACCTAAAGCTGCACATCTTGTAAAATTGTGAATTGGTATCGAAAGGAAATCGCTAATATGCTGATATGCTGATATGCTGGAAATACATATCTGGGTATCAGATTTCAAATCCAAGTCAAAACAATTCCTCTCGTCTTCCCCACCATCACAATCCCACACTGAATCACAAATTTCAATCGGTCTCACATATGTTTGTGTTTTTCCTTTTTTGCAAATAATTCCATACAGAAAACCGTTGCAAAATGCTTCGTCGAAACAATCTAGAGAATCGCAGTGTAGGTCGCACAAAGAAATGATTATTTCAGAAACTTTTGGGCAAAAGGCTTTCATATCACAAGAAACAATTGATTGAAACAGTTTGTCATTTCGCGTTTTATCGCAAACCCAACTGTAATCCATAATTTCATGCCATTTTTTACCTCTGAAACGTACATTGGATGTATTGCACATAGTTGCATCGTAAATACCATCCAGGTCCTTCAGTTTATACTTTACTTCTTCATTAATCGAATGCAAAAGAAGCTGGTAGTTGAAATGCTTATCATTTGGGCATATTTTAGAAACATAAACTTGGTATAAGTTCTCATCCTCGTATAGAGATGGTTTGGAGATAAATGCAAGTACATAAATGACTGTATAGTATGTTTCTGACCATACACATTTCTGAACGTTAAAAAAATGATTATAAACACATACGATTTGAACTGTTGCACCGTGATGTAATTCCTTGCACTGTCCTGAGATAAAATGTTTGTTCTAAATTTATGTTGGAGACTTGGAGAGGAAAGACTAGCTTGAACAATTCACGATAATAATCGAAACCCTAATTCACTGCAAGCCCTGATTTACTGCAAACCCAAATTTGCCGTGGCTGTTAGCTTTCTTTCAAACTCCACGGTAAATTGGGGCTTTAATGTATCATCATCTACAAAAGTAAGTAATACTGCAACATCCAAACTTCTAAGGCATCAGAGTCCAAGATCCTAAATATCGTTCACATACTACGTAATCACGTTTTGGAAAATGTTAACCCCCCTCCCCGTAGTCAATTTTACACACAACTAGGCTATTGTGTCAAAATTACACTAGCGTAATCACTTGGAAACCCCTTTCCCCCTCGGCTAATTACGTAATATGTGAACGACTACTATGCGAGCACGATGCGTCCTAAAATTGAATTATGCGAGAAAAATGCTGACGGAAGTTGTCCAATCTTACCTGGTTTAGGGTTGCACGAAAGAATGATATAGGGTAGTAATTCTCCAGAAGTAACTCTTATGTTGTATGAACAATCATCGAACTTCATCACTTCGTCCTCACAATGGAGATCAGATATAAGAAGGTAGGGTGTGTAGTAACCAATTTCTGCATAACTATACAATTTCTCTTCATCCATATAGTCCACCCAGTCTACAGAAGTTTCAAACCCCAGTTCTTGACAGATAAGGTTGGCTGCTTTGTTGGAAAAATTTTCTGCAACAACTAAACCAGCCTGAGGTTGTAAATTGTCAAGAGCTTTTCAAAGTAAGCATCCAATTTAATGTTATTTGTTTGTTACTAGTTAGAGTTTTGAACATGGTTCCTCATTTATATTTAAGTAAGTTCAGCATATCACTTACAATAAAAACTGTAAAAACTTTCATAAAACTAGAAAATTACCCCAAAACTGGCAGAAGCAGCTTCAAGAATTCCGGAGGTTGATTTAGCAGGCACGTTTGGTCCAGTCATCAGTCGAAATTGTAGCCTTTCTGTGGGTTTTCAACGTTACGTGTTTATTTTAAGGGTCATGTAATTTTGCTCGTAACTTTGAAAGGTATTATAGAATTTCTTTAATCGGTATGAGAAAACTGTGCGGACATAGACGAGCTTTTAAAGTTTAATGACAAGAAGAGGGTTAATCACGTGTGGTTAATCACGTTTGGTTAATCAGTAATCACGTGTGGGTAATCACGTGTGGTTAATCACGTGTGGTTAATCACGTGTGGTTAATCACGTGTGGTTAATCACGTGTGGTTAATCACGTGTGGTTAATTACATGTGGTAAATCACGCGTGGTCAATCACGCGTGGGTAAACTTGTGCCACTTAAGATTACCCACTCCCATTGGATTAGGAATTCAAGCTCTAAACATAATCATAAAAATATTAAAATCAGCCTAGAATTCATCTACCAAACAAACTAACCTTGGGTGATAGAAACTCCGGTTTGATTTGATGCTGTGACATAGCCGATACAAGAGTAAATCAGTGCTAGTAGCAAACCACCGTGCATAGTTCAAATTCCTGTAGAATGGGAAAAGCTGGTTTAGGAAGTAAATGTATGTATATTTTCTCAGAGAAAGTTCAATTTGATAAATTAACAGGTCAATAAAGCAATAAATTTGGTTCACAGTAAATTTAATTCACAATAAATTTGGTTACAAAAATTTTGGTTGCCATAATTTTAGTCACAAACTTCGCACATTTTTAGTCTACAACAGTTTTAGTCACATTTTTCGACTTTTCGAGACTATTTTTCCTTGCATTTATTTGATTTTTTTCATTATTTAGCTATTGTTTCCCGATTTTGTACATAAAGTCATACTTTCAAGTTTAACGTCAGAATATTAAATGGTGTATCATAACATATAGCAGCGGTTTTAAAGGATAAATTCTAGAAGGGGTCATTTCACATAATTACTTCAATGAGTTAAACTAGATGCAGATACTGCCTGATGGGAAAAGGATGTAAGAGAATGTGAAAGCATTAAAGCAGTGGATTACACGTGTAGGATTTGCTTAAAATTTAATAGAATTAAAGTAAAGAAGATTAAATATGAGCTTGCTTTTACCTTGATTCAACTATAACATGAACGTGCAAAAAATTCAGAATCAAGTAGAGCAAGGAAACAACGAGTATTATATCTAAGTAAGTAGTAAGTACCGTAGGTGGATTGTGGAGTTTGCAGATTTGCACTGACCGATCCTTCACTACTATATAACATGGGTTATATTTGAATACCTTCTAATGATATCCATTGTCCACAGCCCGTTAAATATAGATAACTCTTTGTAGGTGACACTACATGGTCAGGATTTTGTAATGAGATTTTGAAGTACAAAACAAACTCTTTAAGAGAGGACAATGTTATGAACGTCAATTCTTACAACTGAATTTAAGTACTGCTCACTAAAATAGTAGGAGCTTGTATTTAAGATGAGTTTACTAATGAGGCTATCTCAGTCAATCATCGTAATAACATGATTGTAATATTACACTATAGATATTTAGTATGGTATGAACGGCACGCTATAAAATACCAATCTTGCCATCTAGTGCATATTTTAAGTAAAAATATTTAAAATAACGTATATTTTTGACGAGATATTAAAGGGCCACAAAAATTATATCCGTCATTTAAATGAAGAAAAAGCCGTACCTTTAATTTAAGAATTTAGTACCTTACTCCGTTTTACCGCGCCCTGATTTACAGTGAATCCTATTTACCGCGGCCATTTACTTCCTCAAATTAATGCTGAACATACTTAACATACTTATACTTATTCACATACTTATGTGAACAATCAAAACTCCGATTTACTGCGAATTCAGATTAACAGCGGCCTTTCCCCAATACCACACCTTACAATAACACCATAACACTCTACCATAATACCCTATAAAAACACCTTACAATATCACCCCAACACCCTACAATAACACCCCAACACCCTACAATAACACCCCAACACCCTACAATAACACCTTACAATAACACTCTACAATAACACCATAACACCGTACAATAACACCCCAATATCCTACAATATCACCTTACAATATCACCCTAACACCTTACAATAACACCCTACAATAACACCTTACAATAACACCTCAATGTCCTAGGAGCTACAAACACGTTACGACACGTTACTACAAATGTACGGCGAGAAAGCAGAAGAAGTCCATGAACTTCAGCTCGATCTTACAGACGTACGTGAAGCGTACAAAGCCCAGATCGAGCAACTTCTCGCTAAAGTTATCCGATAGTAGTCCAGATTCCAGAAAGAGCTGGAGGGGGGTCTCAGATTTAGTTTTTATTTGTTTGATTTATTTGATTTTGGTTAGTTTTGTTCTGGTATGTTCTTGATGATTGATATGACAGATAAGGAGGGTGTAGTGTAGTTGGGTACTCACGGGAAGATGAATCACGTGACTATGGTTAACCAATCAGGTGCCAGCATCGACCATCTGAAGTTAGTGTCACTGTCACGTGTCTCAAAAAAAACATGGTTCACCTCTCTACCAGTATCCATATCTATTGGAGCTGGTTGATTTTTAGATTTATTCCGAATATTGTTTGCAGTTTGCTTTCCCTGATGAAATATTGGCATAAACAATCTGTTATGACAGTGGAATGTTGTAAAATAGTTTGATGATATGGATTTAACACTCGATTTGTTTCCCAATACAGACAGGCAGCAAGAACAATTGTTGATAAGCATGTTATTAAATAAGACGTGTTGAATTCGTTAATAAACACTAAAACACCCACTACTGTAACATTGGTTTAATGTTTTAAGATGAGTTAAAACCTTTGTAAGATATATTTGTTGATAGGGAAAATCCATTGTAAGTTATGAGCTATTTCATGCTGGGCAGAGTTTTATTTTTGAATATAATTTGCATGATAGCAATTTTTCTGCTAACTTAATTGTTGATTTGAATTCTTACTTAAAAAGTGACTTCTTCATTATGACTTCGTTTCGGGAGTGATAAGTGATAACACCTGGTAACTTGGTAAGAATGGAATAACAGCCCGTACTTTTTGTGAGAGCAATCCATCAGACGTGTAGGAAGGAACCAAGGTCAGTTCTCGCTTAACTGTTAACCGATCATACCCGTCAAGCATTCCCCACGTAGACATGTTGTTACAGATGTAGCAAATCGTAGAACTTTCCTCGACGCGCCGATACCAAACGCCTCTTCGCTAATGTGTATGCACTGCCATTATTTACGTTGCTGCGCGCGCGCGCCTAACGTAGCATATCATCACCAGTTGCATCTCCATGTCGATGAACCGTGCAACTATTGTTTTGTGTGCCAATTAAAGATTACGTTTATACAATCAACCAGTCGCATGATCGCTCTTTGCCCGAATAGACGAGCCTAAGTATACAGGCGGTTGGGATCATGGAGGCTACCCTATAAATAATTTTGTTAATGTTGAACCGTGGTCCGTGATGGCTACTCCTAATTTCTTATTTCTGATTCAATCAGTGGCTAGCACGAGCGTCGAACTTTACATTTTCACTTCAGAATGATATAAATAAAACGCATGTTTTACCACAGGGTTATTAAAAATAAATAACGTTAAAACACACCGATTATCTCCCAAATAAAAGACTTCAAAATCAGCAGCAGGGGGGCGCTGTCTCTAGGAACTAATTAATTTGTCTAGAAAATGTGGTCCTTCTCGAATTGTTTGCCCTCCCAGTCGTCCATGCCTCCGTCGATGAATTTGGTCCAAAGTGCCTTTTCGTCCGGTTTGTTCATGTCCATTTTAGTACAATTGAAGTTTTCGATATCAATTGTCCAGTTTGTATCTTCCTGTGAATAAATATTTATCAGAATAGTGTTTATATTAGATTCTTGGAGGATTTTATTGATCGATTAATACAAGAATAAAACTGAGAGACAGTTAATAGTAATATCATCATACATCATCATGCAGAATCTGCTAAGAATCTCCAACGCTAATTATTCGGACTGATCAGTAATTACCCTAATTAAGTAATTACTCTAACACATTGCCCAGAATATTTAAGGACAACTTTCTGAAGTGCTCCAGGATTTGTCAACAAATTTAAGTGGTAGCGTCTTTCTGATTCAGATCCGTTAAAAAAACGACCCACTCACATAGAAAAAGTTGTCTCCCCCTCGTCCAAGCCAGATTCCAGCAAGACGCTGATCTCCTTCGTCTCCAAAAATGTACATGAGACCGAACGCATACTTCTTCATAGTTTCCAGTCTCTGGAACATTCCTGTGGTATGGATGGTTAGTAATAACACCCTACACATTAACACCCTGACCCTAACCCTAACACCCTACACATTAACACCCTGACGACCCCGACCCTAACCCTAACACCCTACACATTAAAACCTAACACCTTACACATTAAAACCTAACACCTTACACATTAACATCCAACTTGAATTTAGTTATAAAATTTGTAGTCATTTGATTATGATATGAGATAATATAGAGGAATTGAAACGCAAGGAATGCAAACGATCTCCGAATATTTTCAATTTTCCCGTCAAGCCACTAGACCCACGACTTAGAACAGAATACATGAACCTACATTTTCTCCCCAACCGTAATACTGAACTAAACTATAAAATATAATTTTAATCTGGAAAATCATTTGACATTTTCAAGTTATCAATTAAAAAATTAATCATAATTATAACGTACCTTTGACGAGGTTGTTGGTTTTTGTCGTCTTGACAAGCTCACTCTGGTACTTATACTCGACCTTCCACACTGACCATTCTCCATCGACGAAAGTGTCGTCAAAGTACTTATGGATAACCTCGCTAGGATCGTTCCAGTAATGTCTGAGAAAGTGAGATTAGATAAAGGTAATATCTAACAGCTCTCGTTGGGTGGATTGAACATGGTCCTGACGATGAATAATCAGAGGTGGAATGTTTCATAACAATAATATTAAATAAATAAAGTCACATTTTATACAGCAATTTATCGGTATTATCATTTGAGTTAGCCATATAAGAAAGTATAGCTGACGCTGTGAAGGCTGCAGCAAATCATATCAGGAGCACCCCTGCAGATTTCGTCGATTTCAGGTGCCGTCGGCACCATAAAAATTAAAAGCAAACATAAATTTTTCCCCCTAAAATCGAATGCTTTCTGCGCAAAAAATTGACCTCAACAGAAAAAATTAAACGTGGCTTCAAATCCAAATTTGAACTAGAGATTTTTCACTTCCTCTCGATAAACTTAATTTTCAACCCAAAATAAAGTTTCAAAGGGGTAAATTACTCAGGTCAGGATTGTAGGCAATGATTATGCCAAACCATACATTTTTGTAAATTCATTAAACTTTCAATTTAGCCAAAACACCCTATTTCGCAACATTTTTCCGGGGGGGGGGCTGCGCCCCCCTAGCCCCCGCCAATGTGGTCCGCCCCTTACCTGGACCCCGCTGGGGGCCGCGCCCCCAGACCCCTGCCACAGCTTGCAGCTTCGCTCGCCGACAGCCCCCCTCCCCCCCCCAAAGAAAAATCCTGGCTACGTGCCTGAGCAAAATATAGATTAAGGGCTTTTCAGATGATTTGGCTCCTCAACAGATACCGACGTACATAACGGTCAATATGTAGTTTAGGTTTACCTGGCCCGTAGGTTACGAATGTTATGTGCCCGAGGAGGAAAAAAAAAGCAAACTTAAGAAAATTTCTCGGGAACTTAAAAGTTCACCTCAAAACGAAATCTGCACCTATGATCAGGAGACTGTACACATATTAGATAACTAACAGTCTCGTGATCTTGAGTGTAGAAAGTAGGAATGTCAGTGTAGAAAGTAGGAATGTCAGTGTAGAAAGTAGGAATGTTAGTGTAGAAAGTAGGAATGTCAGTGTAGAAAGTAGGAATGTTAGTGTAGAAAGTAGGAATGTCAGTGTAGAAAGTAGGAATGTCAGTGGTTAGACGTACCTTTTGAAGTCATCCATGTTGAGCTTAGGTGCTGGTAGAGAGGAGAATGGTGCTGATCTCTCTTTCTTTGGGGCTGGTGCAGCTTCCTGTAGCACAGATTTACCGTTAAGTTTAGTTTGGTATGAATTGTTAGCAAGGAATTAAAGTTTGGTATGAATTGTTAGCAAGGAATTAAAGTTTGGTATGAATTGTTAGCAAGGAATTAAAGTTTGGTTTGAATTGTTTAAAATTTAGGTAATCACTAATCAGCCGTATATGAAGAGTATAACAAGCGTTAGAATTTCCGAAGTACGGAAAGAGGGGACGGCTGATAAGAACTTAAATTATTAGCTATTTCAGGTTTAATAATTATAATCAGCCTTAGGAGGAAGGGGTTCGGAAATGCTAACGCTTGTGTAATTTCTTCACAACATGTATGTGTTAAAACAATTATAGAGTGGAATGTTGGGTCGAAAGTGGCCAAAATCTTTTGCTACATAAGGTTGTATTGTGCGAATGTAAATTGATATTTAATTGGTGCAGGGAATGCTTCTATATGGGTTTGTAGAAAAAATATTATCAAGTTAATAATATTAATTAATTAATAATATTAACAAACCTCTTTCTTGGGAGCTTCTTTCTTTGCTGCTTCCTTCTTAGGGGCGGCGTTCTTCTGCTGCTTGGGATTGTTCTGCTGGAACAGCTTAGCTGAAAACATGGTCACGTTTAAAAATGATATTTTACAATCAATTTAAGACCTACAACATAAACGTATGGGGATACATTTCTCAGCAAGGTAAAACCGAGGAGGATTGTCGAGAGGTTTGTAAGTCCACACGGAATCTTAAGTCAACGCAATGGTTATCGGCTTGTCGCTAAAGTGAACAAAAATGAAGACATTTTTCTCACTAGATGTGTTTACAAAAACTATAAAGTTGTATTTGACTTATGAATATAATTCAATTAACAAACCATCGAATTGTGCGGGCTTGACGCAGAGTGTTGTCTGTCCCAGGACTCGGGTAACCTCGTCTTGGTTCATGATAGTTGTAAACCATCGGGTGACATTCACGTAGCTGTTCCGTCTGTTTTCGTCCAAAATCTGAGAAAGATTTTATCAAATTTTAAAATTTTTTTCTCCCTAGTTGCTTCCATGATCCACCATTTTTCAACTCCATAGATCAGAGACATGATAAAGCAGAATGTAACGTAACTTTATGAGGACGTCACAATAATGCATGTCACAGTCGACCAATCAGAAGCCACCACACAAGATGCGTGTAAGATGAAGGAACGCGCGCGCCCCTAAAAGTTGCACTCGTCGAGAAAGTTTGTTGGCTTTGTACGCCATTATTGAAATTCGAGAAGACCTTCCGGCGCGCCTTACTACAAATACAACGACTTTAAAGGAGCTTTTCTCCGTAAAACGTCAGTGGAGATAGGTTGCGAATACTGAATAGCCCCTTTTTGAAAAACATCTTGGAGCAATAATTTAAACGCTGTTTTGACCGGCCATTTTATGTGAAAAAGTTGGCATTACAGGCTACAGCCCGCACGGTTTTTTCACACATTCAACAATTGATCAACGCATTGGTTTCTCACATTTTTGTGTATGTTTTAATGTGGATTGTGGAAAGCGTTTTATAAATTCTAAGAATCATAAGTATAATCTCAGTTGCAACATTCATCTAAAAACACTAAAACCACATCGAGAAATTTCACAATGCCTACATTCCTCACACGAAGAACCGGCTACATTACACAGTTACACATGACATACAGACCGAACATTATATCAAGTTAGCGTACATTATGCTGCCAAATCGGACGATTTTTCGTTAAAAATACCAACAATTCAGAAAACCCCCCACCCCCTCCAGCCTCAGAGTCTTTCGGACCCTTTGTTGTTAGGCTACGGAATGCTCACACGAAATTACACACATACCATTGTGTAGAGGTCCCTCATGTACACCGCAAGAGAAAGATCAGCGAGTGTAACTGATTCACCGACAAGGTAAGTTCTGTTGAGGAGATGCTGGTCCAGGACGGTCATGAAATTTTTGATGTTCTCGTGGCCTTTGTTAACAACCTGAAGTAAAGTAAGGTAAAAGTAAGGTAAAAGTAAGGTAAAAGTAAGGTAAAAGTAAGGTAAAAGTAAAGTAAAGTAAAGTAAAGTAAAGTAAAGTAAAGTAAAGTAAAGTAAAGTAAGGTAAAGTAAGGTAAAGTAAGGTAAAGTTAAGTAAAGTAAGGTAAAGTAAGGTAAAGTAAAGTAAAGTAAAGAAAAGTAAAGTTAAGTAAAGCAAAGTAAAGATAAGTAAAGTAAATTTAAGTAAATTAAAGTAAATTAAAGTAAACCAAAGCAAACTCAAGAAACCTAAAGAAAACTAAACCAAAGACCATACTCACGTTTTTGTTGTTGGGCATGAGGCCCCAGCAAGGGTACAGGACTTGACAGGCAGCTGGGAATAGCTTAGTCTCTGCCATGTTCATGAACTGAGTTATTGTGGCCCGGGTAATCTCGTCGCCTCCCCTCAGGTCACAACCTCCAACTGAAATGGAGTCGATTTAGATTCTAATAATTAGCGATCATTTCGGTTAGAAATAATTTCACTTCAAAATACATTGTATTGACATTTCACATGATTATAGGGCCCAAAACTAGTGTCGGTATTTTCAGGGCTTTACAAATGGAAGTTAACCTGATTTATACATAACTATTTCGAAATCCAAATAAATTGTACATCAATGTTACAATTAATTATACACAAGAAAATTTGTGTCTTTCTTAAAGTTTGTCTTTCCCAAGACCAAAATATCTACAATAAGGTAAGGGAACTATCAATGAAACTCAACACTACCAGACTGCAGCTGGAGTGAGAAAAATATATGTAAAACATCTGTAAAATACATTTCGGGTAAACTATAATATGGTATACCTTACGAGACATATTCAAATGGTAAGAAAGTTGGTGGTTTTTCGAAAAAAAAAAAAAACACCATTATTTTCCCCAAATTATTTTTCACGTATTTTCCTTAATTATGATTTTATCAATTTACCATCAACTTATCAATATAGTAAGTTATGTATACATACAGGGGGGGGGGGGGGGGAGTGGCCAAAAGTCAGTACCCATACGTTGGTCTTAATAGCTCAGTCACTGAGTGACCAATTGAAATAATTCTTTCTGGTATGACTTACTACCACTGGTTCGAGGAATTTGTCAAATCGAAAAAATATTCGTGTTCATTTTTTTCAAATGAAGATTCGTTTTTGCATTTATTTGATAGTTTGGATATATAATAGTCGGATATATAATAGTCGGATCGAGTCAAACTTTATTGAATCGTGTTTGGCCATTTAAATTACGTTTGTCCTGAAAATATGAGAGTTCTAGCTTCTCAGATGCCCGAGATATGAAGCATAACGAGTTTTTTCATTACGTGTGATCAGGTTGAGGCTAGATCCGCATCGTGCAAAGAACCCAATTACGGTGTCGGAATGGGCTAATCATTGATTAGCCCAGAACAAACTAGAACAAACTAGAACATCAACTTTACAACCCGTTGCTGTGTCAAGAAAGGGCACACAATCGATTTATTAAACTATGGGAAAGAGAAAGAAAAAGCAATAAGAAGCTTACTTTCTACAATAAAGTTAAAGAGGCTTTCAAAGCGGAGCCGTACCTCACTCTACCGTCGAGAACTGGAAGCAACTTCGTGGCTAGGATCCGAATGAGTGGACATAAGCTTAACGTAGAAACAGGAAGATATGGGAGACGAACTGGTAGTCGTCATTATAGAATCTGTGAATTCTGCAGCGAGAAGCCCGTGATGGAGCTCCTCCTTCCAGGTGTGGACCCGATCATAGAAGATGAAGAACACTTCCTTAGAACATGTCCCAGGTACCATTCCAATAGGACTAACATGAAGGAGCCCACAAAGTCCTTGCTATTTCATGACATGAAGAGCCTCTTTCTCCCGGAACACATAGTGGAATTCACCTATTAGGGTTGAATTCCTGCTAGGGTTTGCGTGCTTTTCTCGCTCTTTTTGGTAGCTTCTATCTTGATCGATTTGCACTCGCCTCTGGCTTTAGAGTGACACCACGACATTTTGGTAATGGTTTTCTCTCCCATTTGGATTACGGAATTTGGATTTATTTTAGCAACGCCGATCTAACGTTATTATACTGTACTCTATATTTGTAAACCTTGTAAACCTTGTAAACCTTGATTACCCAATCAATTGTGCTAACGTGATAAACGAATTGCTCGATAACTTCGTAATTTTAAATCTATTTCGCACCCTCTTTTAAGATTATATTAAATGAACTATTGCAATATGTTACAACGGAGTCTCTAACATGTTCACAAACACGAGTATAAGCAATTCAATGTTGATTGGGTGTGGCCCCCAAAAATCTTTTCAAATTTTGGTGACGGAATCCTCGAAAAAGTAGGTACAGTATGCCATCTGCAAAGCAACAACTCTCAAATATAAAACACGGCGGTGGTATAAGACCCAACGTATGGGTACTGACTTTTGGCCCCCCCTGTATGATTCATCGAACAATTTATGAATTGCTTTAGAAATGATATTTGACACATGATCCCATTAAAAGATGAAAAAGCTTCTCAAATATTGGGTTTCATTTTTGTAAAAAAGGAGATGAAAAAATCCCCAAATATCATGATTTAATATGGGGTACGAAATTAGGCGGTTTTCGGAAAAAATTCCTATATTTTTGTTCCCAAATCATTAAGGTCACCGGAATAATGTCGAACATAAATAATAAATATGTCTCGTAAGGTAATGGAGATGAGTCCTACGAGCAATACTTTCTTTGTTTTACAAAACTAAACTTATCAAAAGTACGCAAAATTTATTTATACTTCACATGTACTAATTACACCACTACAAATCTATTACAATTATTGAGTTTTATGTAACGTTATAATATGTAAACGTTTTAGGCGGATAAAAGCCAGTCCAAACCCAGGCTCCATATCATGAAGGTCTCGTTTTAATTTGTATTGAAAAGCAATAATATAAAACAGACGTCCCAACCAACACCTATTGCACTTAAGCCACATTCCCCAAATTCCCCACTACCTTAAATCAAATTCCCGACATTCCCCACTACCTTAAACCACATTCCCCAAATTCCCGCTAGGTCTACAAATTTAAACGTGTACGTGTGAAGGTACATGTCATCAACTGGTTATCTGATACGAGGGAAACGAGTGTTATCTTAAATATCCGCGTATTTCACGTCCAATAGCAGCACTTTCTTGATATCAAAGTTCAAGTGAGTCAAACTCAAATGATTTTGAATTCATGTGCTTCGAATCAGTTTTAGACATCCTTTTCTTGAATCTATGATGCGTAAGCTATGGTATAAATTTCAAACGATCAATTGCAATTTGGGATCGTTTCAAAAATATGCATATTCATGTAGAAATATGAATGAAGAAATATGAACATACCGAAAGAGGCGATGGCCATGGTATCGTTCAGACATCCTGCAGATGACTCGAATGCTGGAACCTGGAATAAAAAGAATGGTAAGTATTTCTGGAATTTATCGTATTTCTATCAAGCAAAAGATCGCGAAATTGTTTTGAAGTTAATAAAATGAGTTATTTGATTTGTCCCGACATAATAGTTAACGAATAGCGTTTCTTCATGAGCTGGGCAAGAAGCCAATAAACTTACAATAAAAGATTGAACAATTTTAATATACAATGGACTGCTTGATGATACGATTATATGCAGGATGTTTAAAGGGTAAGAGCTAGTTAGATTTAAAATATTTGAAATTATACTAAAATAGAAAATATTGAAACTTTTGTGCATGATCATGTGTGATGTGAAATTGAAACTAACAGCTGTGTCCCGTGGGCTGTATCATTATAAATGTGGATTCAGGTGGGGAGGTGAGGCATATTTTTTGTCACGTGACAGCAATTTACCAATCAGCATCCACTACCGACCAATCAATTACTGCCACGTGCCAAAAAATTAGGCCTTCCCTCCCACCAGAATCGATATCTATAGTTGTCCCAATGAGAAAGAGAGGAGATCTTGACGGAAAAACTTTATAAGTGACCATTTAGAGTATTTATACAACTAAGACTATTGCTGCTTCAGTCATAGTTGCAGTCTTCAGCTCATAATAGATTTAACATTCCTTTCGTTTCAGATATTTGTGTGTAAAATGAGATTAAGATGACTGATTAGCGTTATTTGGAGCTTTCTTTAGTATATCCTGCTACTGTACGTAATTTAATAAGAATGTAAAGATTACCATGTCATTAAATACAGAGTCAATTTACAAAGACTAAAAACAAACTAAACTAAATGGCTCAGAATTACAAATCATGAACTGTTTGCATTTAATCTACGTAAATTACTAACTCCTTTAATTCCAATGTTTTACAAACGCCAGTCCAAAATCCCAATTTTGAGAGGGATAGAAATTAGAATGCCCCAGATACTCCATTATTAGAGATGGTGTAACCTTCACAGCACAGTCAGACAAACTGTCACGTGTCGCACAAACTGTCACGTGATAATTGCACAGGAATAAAAAACCTTAACCTGGTAACCCTGGTGCCTGCAGAAGAGCAATTCTAACGTTAAATGCAAATCCACATTTTTTGTGAGCAAACCCAAGAGATGAGGCGTTGCCGAGTAGCCAAAGTATGGTGGGAATCACCACACATGTGTAGCAGCGACAAGAGGTCCCATGGTCGCTTGATCTAGATTGGGCTCAACTGTCCGGCAGCCCTTAGTGGGACGGAAAATTAAAAAAAGAAACACCTACCATCAACTTAATTAAATATTTCATTCCGCAGGCCACCGTACGTTACCAGGGGACTTCTTTATTGTGAAAGCAGTTCTGTCTTTATGTCTGTACTCATATTTTCTACAATCCAACAGAATGTGAAGGTCAGGGATTGGAAGGAGAGGAAAATTTCTAAACATTATGTTAAGTAGATAATTCTGAGATCTATCATCTATGCCACAGGAGCTGCACTTATTACTGGGACTTAACTATTACAAGGAAGGAGGGTGCAGTTCATGGTAAATGTTGGGAATCTCACAGGCAGTGGCGTAACTTAGGGCCCCGCAGACCCCGCTGTGCGGGGGGGGGGGGGGGGGGGGGGGTGCCGTACTAGGGGGGCGCAATTTTCCTGAATTTTAGGCCCTTTCACTGAAAAAACGCCTTATTTGTGTATTTTCCTGTCCAATTTACCGTTCGGTGGACGCGAAAAAATATTTGGGTTACCTTTTTTGCTTCAGGGGGGGCGCAATTAGCTGTAGGGGGGGGGGGGGGGGGGGGGGGCGAGAAAAAAAGTACCCGACCTTTTTTTTTTTCTTTTTTTTTTACGGACACAACAAATTTTAGGGGGGGGGGGCACATTTCGTCACTGAGCCGGGGGGCGCCAACAGGCAAAGTTACGCCACTGCTCACAGGATCTGTAATATCTATTGAACACCAATATATTACTGCTGCAAGGTACCCAACATTTGAAGGGAAATTCGATGATATTACAGGCAATCACTGACAAAGCTTGGCAGTTATTTTTCTTTAACAGTTATGGATAACATTCGACAAATATATGTTTAACTATCAACCCATGAGATACAGCTAAAACTATTTTAGAGATCATATTTGGGTTTTTTGGCTTTATCACAAAAACGTTTAAACATCCGTTTAAAAACTACAAGGGAGGAACAAAGTCACGCCCTAGTTGTGATGTTCAACGATCTAATATGTCAAATCCGTTCATGTGGTCAGTGTTTTTCTAGTGCTACTTTCAATTGGTATTTTCAGTTGTATCCCAGATTCGAGCCTTGCTATGAGTTTCGTTACCATGAAAGCGGAGGCAAAACAAGAAACTCTTGTCTGTTTGAATGATAAGAAATGATTATGAGCAATGTTGTGTAGGACAGAGTCAAGTTATTAATTCCAGTTGTCAAATAATCATGAAAGGTGCTTTCAGGGTGCTGATGTTCTTTGTTATTGTGCTATTATATGTTTATAGGTTTTCAAGAAAGTTACAACATCGTCTTTTATTAAAACTAACCTGTCCGAATGGGAATTTAGCTGTGAAGGCTGGAGATTTGTTGGTAACACCAAACTCGAAGTCAGACGCTAGTTTTACGTCAGAGCCGCCGTATTGAGCACTGATCTGGATCAGTTGAGCTCTGGAGCTGTTGGGATAGCAGTAGAGTGTCTGAAAACAGAACGAGGGATGAGTTTCATCACAACAAAAGTTAAGTTACTGAGGAAAACTAAGAAATCAAGCAATTGAGCTACGCATACGTGACTCAATGAGTCTCAACGATACACTTCAAACTCATCAGAAACTAGACTAACAGTTTAACACAAGCATGACACCACAAAATCTGCTAAAATCATCTAAAAAACTTACCCCATCGACACCGTTCTTTGCAGGCATGACGTTAAGGTGTGTAAATTAAAGTAAAGACTGATTCTGTCTAGGCCAGCATGGAAATTTCTTATTTAGCGCTCGATTCAGAGAGGACGTATTAGCTGGTAGCGCGCGCAATTTTCATCGATCTCTTTTGATTGTGCGCTCTTGGTTCTGTAAACAACAAAAACCAAAAATGAATAGATTATTTATTAGTATTCAACTCTGTTCCATGGGTGAATTGTTAAGAGTCCTGTTTAATTATAATAAAATAAGATTATTCTCTGATCGCACCGATACTACGGCGAGTTTTTTTTGTAAAAGTTGATGAGCGAATCATCGATTATTTTTTTTTGGCATCGTGAATTTTACACTCATTAGGATTCACTTTTTAACTAAGATTAAGGGAAATGGGGACGTGCACTTATTTCATGGTATTTTCAACGAGTGTACCAAATGTAATAATTGGAGAAAGATTAAATGAAGAATTGGCGGCAAGGGTGACGCGCATGTCATTTAAAGAAACGTCGCGCGCGTACGTTCCTTCGCGCCAAAATCAACTTTCTACATAGAACTCTTCTTCGCGCCAGCGCTAAAGTCACAGCTAAGCTCATTAGACACCGAACAAGTGGATTATTTCAACTTTCAAGTCACAAAAGTTTGATGACGTTAGCAATTTTATCCTCTTATTTAAAAGCTATTTTGACCATGACATATACAAAGTTTAATTTACATATCACGCCCCAAATCTTTCCTATCACTAAAACCGTTTTAGTTAATTTTATCACTTCACAGTTTCTCAATTGTAACGTTTACGTTTCTTTGGTAACAGAGGTGAACACAGCAAATATCCACTCGTCTCCACGCATATTCATAGAACATCATGTAAGAGGTGAAATCAGTTCGATTACTTAACTCAACTGCGCATGATAACATCGCGTTTTTAACTTTTATCATCATGGTGACTTCACGCGCGCATGCTGTATCAGGTTTAAACAATATTCTTCAAGATGGAGGAGGGACAGTGAATTAAATTACAATCGGACATACGAGATAATAGGTTTTTAATCGGTGTTACATTTAAAGAAAATTCCAAGTTTTACATTTTTATTATTCGTCCTTATTCAATGAATATCGTTAGTTATAGACCCTGTATCACTACAATGAATATTTAACTGCAATATCTGAGCTCAGAGATTTTACTGGTAATCAAATTTTTCAGTTAACGCAAACACAAACACACAGATATTTTGTTTCTTATAGTAATGACTGGGATGAAAATTGAATTTCGGAAGGACAAGGAACAAAATATGCGTTGCCTGGATCGGTATATTGGGTGTATCACCCGTTATATTGGGTGTATCTCCGATTATGGATGCGAACACGTGACGATGATTAACCAATCAGATTCCAGCATTGACCAATGAAAACCGAAAAACACGGTCACGTGTTAAAACAGATTGACAGTGTAATGGCATGATCCGTTAAATGAACCTTCAGAAATGGCACATGATTTTATGTTGAGACAAAATTTTTAATTGGCCCTGCATAAAATCGTGTTTAAAACGAGAGGTATTTTACTCGGACCAGATACGGCTACAAAAGAGATAATTTTATTTTGAGTAGATTTCTATTACAGCGAAGACTTTTCGCTGTGATTTCACTCATGAATGGAAATTAATTTGAATTATTCAAACCATTCATATTTCACCATATTCTTTGAGTCTGGCCTGAAAAAATAGATGGACCGCTTTAATTTATTGATCATTCGTTTTATTCCATAATGTAATTTTACACGTAAGTTTTGAGTGTAAATATTTGTGTGGCTTAACATATTAGTATACGTGTATTTTTAAAATATCGAATATTTTACATTACTGCCCATCAAACGTGGAAAGTGTATAATATATATTTCGGGAGGTTGTGATTGTGAGATTTAGTCAAAGTGTGAAGATGTAAAAATGTGAGTGTGACCAAAAGTGTGACTATACGTGTAAGTGTGACATATTACATGGACTTTGTTCAACCGCGAGGAGAGAGAGAGAGAGAGAGAGAGAGAGAGAGAGAGAGAGAGAGAGAGAGAGAGAGAGAGAGAGAGAGAGAGAGATAGAGAGAGAGAGAGAGAGAGAGAGAGAGAGAGAGAGAGAGAGAGAGAGAGAGAGAGAGAGAGAGAGAGAGAGAGAGAGAGAGAGAGAGAGAGAGAGAGAGAGAGAGAGATAGAGAGATAGAGAGAGTCCAGGGGAGTTCAAGTGTAAAGTTCAGAGTGTGACATTACGTCATTCAGCAACTATAACACGTGACAGCGAGTGTCAGTGTAACTATGACGTCACACTCCACAATTGTGACACGTGTCACGCGACAAAGTGTTGATATGTGCCATATTACAGCACACACACACACACGTTCTGCACTCTGTAGCGGCTCTATTACATCAGACTGTGCGGCTATTATGTAATTTAACAAAAAATTACGTAATGTAACGAAATGTTACGTATCATTAATTAAGCAGCACAGGAACATCGTGCTGAGATAGTTTCAAATTACGATTCAAAGATGTTCCGGACTTCACTGTGATTATTTTTATATTTCTATTTCTGGCCATAATATAATATGTACTTGGTTAACATTGGATTTACTAAGAGAACACACTGAAACATACACTACTCTTATCAACAAAATGCTCTTATCAAATAATGGTAACTACTTGCACTGGGCCAAATCAGCAGACCTGTTAAACTTTATTAGATTTAAATTATGAATTTAATTTAATTAGTTTAATTTAATTAGGGCGACTACTTACTAGTAGTAAGCAGTGACTGGACACAACTTCTCACAGCGATTTAATTTTTTTAAAGAGGCAAAAACTTGTTAGAAACAGAAACATTGGTGTCATATAGTTTTAAACTAATTACAACACCACAAATCTATTACATTTATTGAGTATTATGTAACGCGATGGAAATATTTTAAGCGGGTAATATCATTACATAACATGAAGACTTTGTTGTAACTTTGTATGAAAAGCATTACGTAATATAAATTATTCAAAATACACTTTTCTCCGTTTAAGAGATAAGAACAGCCGTTCTTGGAAAAGGTCATGTAATTTGTAATTTGTAATTTGTAATCACCTTATAAATACAAGTTACACGATATATAATGTTATTAAATGTGGTAATAAATACGGACGATAAAAATAGTATGATATTATTACACATAATATTACACAGTACGTGATATTGTGTTGTTCTCTTATCATTATAGTTTGTGTGCCATCCTCCCACTGGTTACAATGTCACACAGCAATGTTACAATGTTACACAGCAATGTTACAGTGTTACAATGTTACACAGCAATGTTACACAGCAATGTTACAGTGTTACAATGTTACACAGCAATGTTACACAGCGATGTTACAGTGTTGGGAGTGTTACACAGCAATGTTGCAATGTTACAGTGTTACACATCAATGTTACAGTGTTACACAGTAATGTTATAGTGTTACACAGTAATGTTGCAATGTTACACAGCAATGTTACAGTAAAAAAATAATTAGCCACGCCCAGATCTAGCTCGAACCTAAATTTACAGCAAAAACTCCAATTTACAGCGTCTGTTTTCTGTCCACCAAACACCATGGTAAATCAGGGCTTTATTCTACAACAGTGCATCAGAGTCAAAACATTATCGAAAGCACACCAATTTTCAATTTAAGAGTGCTTTCAATTGGGACTCATATCTTGAGCCTTATTGGGCGCCCTACATTGTATGTATATAAAACAAGAGAAAAAATTTGATTAAACAGCTTTTTCCCCAGATATACACGACACGAGTCTTCAAAACACCATGTTTATAATGTAACTAAGTGATTGAGTTAGAGTTACACGAGTTGTGTTAATAACACCAAATTCACATTGTGTCCACCGTTCCGTTAATAAAGAGTCCATATTGCGGGTTACACACAAAATTGCACCACAGGTATTATAACTGGTAATGAATATTTCCTTATCTCTACATCCGATGCAGATGTTGAGTGTAACGCATATATATTATGCTGGAATATCATTAATGTAACGTTTATTACTCAGTTCAATATTACGTATAATATATATATTATATATAGTTATATATAACTATATATAATTTATACACATATCGATTATCGCTTATTTCCAGCTTAACGTTTTAGATTTATCCCTCAAGATGCAGTCAAATAAAGTTTGATAAGACTGCAAATATCATACCAGACCGTTGGTAACAATGATAAAAGTAGTAATGAGACAGCCAAAGAATAGAAACATAAGCAGAAACATCAAACCCCTTTGGTGAGTTATTGACCCCAATATAATGTTTGTTCACATTGGATTTATTTTATTTCGGTTCACTTCCTTTTTGACCATCACGTCATTTTGTTTCACAATCACAGAGTAGACCACGGTGAACTATGTTTCCCACATCCAGAAACATCAACCCCTCTTCAGTCTTCACTTTATACAGAATACTGAATACCACGTACCACTGCTATATCTGTTTACTTAACAATAATTAGAACTGCTCCTATCCAAGGTAAACAAACAGCACTCTAATGATAATAAGGTAAACAAACAGCACTCTAATGATAATAAGGTAAACAAACAGCACTCTAATGATAATAAGGCAAACAGCACTCTAATGATAATAAGGTAAACAAACAGCACTCTAATGATAATAAGGTAAACAAACAGCACTCTAATGATAATAAGGTAAACAAACAGCACTCTAATGATAATAAGGCAAACAGCACTCTAATGATAATAAGGTAAACAAACAGAGCACTTTATTGTAACAATGGGAACAATGCACTATGTTAACAGGACAGTTGCAGGAAGCAGTCAGCTGAAGTTATGCCAGGTATATTTATGTTATTAGTCATGATTTTTCCAGGCAGGTTTGGGTTAGAGTCTACACTCTGCATATTTACTTTAAAGATATTGAAACTCGATGATAGCTGAAGATTTATTGAATTTAAACCAATTTAGGGATTTCATAGTTCATATTTCTTGTTTTTATTGCCAAGCTTCTCATTTGACTAATTCTCAAAAAAGTAGTAAAAACAGTTCCTGGATTAAGCACCTGTGGTTTGAGTTTGTTAAAATGCCACAAAACTTCATACCATCACCACAACCACAGAACCGTCAACAAATGCATACCAAACATTCCCAGAAATGTTACAAATAGCCCATTTCTTCAGCCCTAAAAAGGTTCCATGCTGTGTCTCTGTGTGTCTTAATCCTGTCCTCTGATCCCCCATAAATGGACATTCCACACACAATGCGCCACAGAATGGACATTCCACACACAATGCGCCCGGAATTTTGATAAACGTGTATAACATACCGCTCTGTTCTCAGCATTCTGATACAATATCCTTACCAAAAAGGGTAACATTTTTCGTGAAAACTGGTATGTGATTAGGCTCGCATCACATTCCATAATCTTACACCATTGAGGGGTATTTCGGGAAATCAGTCCGTACTAGATATAATTATATTATGTGTAAGATATCACATTTGTAGAGGACCCAGAACACCTGGATCAACAAGACTTAATGTGTCACACACACACGCACACTTTCCCAAATACCGATCTGAAATTCCTCAGAACTCGATCCCACATTTTTGTGTCAGTGTTTGAATTCCAGAGTTGAATTCTACTGAGGCAGGGGAAGAGAGGTGTAAATTCCAGCTTTCCACATCGTGATGATTATTTTAAGAACATTTCAGTTTTTTCTAAATTAGACTCAGTCATGACAATGCTTTAACGAAGGTAAATTAAATAGATAAATCAAGTATCAAAGTTTCTACGTCATTCTCAAATTATTAGTTGGAAGTATTTTTTTAAACATCGTGATGAGATATATGAATTATGATACCCAAACTGTTGTAAGATTGCTTGATATATTCAGCATCTGTTACAAAGCACATTTGGTAGCACGACTCGTATTATGCAAATATGTGAAATATGTGCGACATATGCGAGAAATATGTGGGATATTTCAAGAGGCATGGAAAATTTCCCACAAAAATGTCTAGTATGACCAGAAATCGGGCATATATATCCACGGGAGATAGTAAATGTAATCTTCTGTCCGCGGGAACGGTTATGAGTTATTCGATTACCGTTTTACAAGGAATATATTGATAATAAGAGCACTAATCGAAGAAAATGTCACGTGATCATATCTACGAGCCTAGTTACGTCACCCGGCCCCGGTTACGTCACATTGATACCAAATTTCCGTATTTTTAGCTGGGTTGTAAGCTGAGAGGGTGTGAGACAATGCTCGTTGGGACGGATATCCATTTATCTCTCCTGACGTTGACTGCAGAGTACAGATGTCGATAATACTCTTGAAATGCTGATTAATATTTGCAGACAATTTGATGTATTTACACAACTCCTCTGAATTGTAATAACAGTTAATGTCGCACATTATCGCACACTATAAACATTATCGCACATTATAAACTTTAACACAACTCCCCCGTACAATGAACCAAACCCCCATGATGAACACACACACAGACACACTCACAATAACTAGTGTATAATAACACTCTCTCCACCAATGAAATGCTTACTTTGTGCTGTTTTACGAAGAGAGGGACACCAGGTGGTAAATGTCGCTGGACTGAGCTAGGCCACACACGTACACCTATCACAATATTTACATAATAAAATTGTTAAGATTATTCGAATTTTGTTTGATCTAGAGTGAATATCCGAAATGTTTTACAGGCTCTAATGATGTAGTTTTACAAAGAATTCAAGCTTCATACTGTGTGTTTCCCTTCATATCCAAATGTAACATACTTACATAACATTATAGTTACTTACACTAAGTTTTTGTGTGGTGGGGTCGTTAGTGTGAGAGGTGTTTTTGCGTGTGATAATGTTTTATATTCAATAAAACGGTCAATGACATACCAGGTTATTGGTAAAGTTATGTTTAGAGAGTTTACTATTTACACGGCCCTGTGATAATTAGAGCACAAGCGCCTCGCAATGGACAAATATTTACAAATATAGCACGAATCACTGAGCCGTTACTATTGCTGTAAATATTGATCATATCATTGGCTCCATTTATTACAGGTACATCAAGTATAAGTAGTACGTGTTTTTCCTCTCCAATCTCGGCAATGTTTGCAGTCAACTCCATTTGATTATGGAACCTCCATTTACCTCTCTCACAGGAGCGTAAAATAACACTGTATATTAGCTAGAGGTACGCTAGAGGTATGGTAAACTGTGCAGTAAAATGCATGATCCACCAGGAAATTCAGACGAATAATCTAGAAAGATCACGCAATAAGATTTACTACACAGCGCCTACATCATTTCCTGAACTAGATATAACACTTAGAATTAGTGTAACTTTACTATAAAGTATGCGTAGCATTAGACTCTGAAATAGTACGTACATTTTACGTGTAAAGTACGTGCACAATGTACTGTCACGTGTCACAACGTAAATCGCAGGGGAATATATAACATATTAAACATACTCATAGCAATGTTGATCAGGACGCCGGCCTAAAAACAAACATTACCAAATACAGTCTCTTTCAACTTCGCAAATTATTATTATTTACACAGCACTCAGACAGTAAAACTATAAATAGAACGCTATTTAAAATACCACAGAGATTAGGAAGATAAATCATTCTGATTTCCTGGTTTTATTTCCTCAATATGTGTATACCAGTGCTACACAGGTATAGTACTCTATTGTTGTGTCACGTTATACATTTAACAGCAAGACTGTTTTAATAATATACTGTTATACACGAATACCGAGCTCTTTTTTCTGTGTTCATATGCCAGTGTAACTCACTGTCTAGTGTGTCTGTGTGCACTGTACAGCATTTGCTGCACATGCTGCACTGTAGACATTTCCAGTGTTATAATAAGGGTACACTAGAAGTCTTGCTGCTGTTTAATAATAATAATATATGCAGATTGTAGATCCTTCTGTTATAAGACACGATTTATAGGATGCCATCTTAGTGGGTACTGGGTAGTTATCAACACTATAATACCTACACTCGGATATTATCAACTTTCATATCAACTCTTCTTTCAGAGAATGCACTTATTACGATCGGATCAACATTGAATAACTGAATCGAGTGCTGAATACATTCACGAAATGCACCATGATTTCTGACGACTGTGAAGGTCCAGGTATATGACACAATCAAATACTTCCCAAACATGGCTCATTCAGAGAGAAGGAAAACTTAGCATTGTGCGGAAAATCCGAAATTTGGTCATGATAATCTAGATCTGGTCTCAATTCCACTTAAAGTACTTGATTCATTAATTCGAGAGGATTGCACAGGGTAACTACAGTGGGCCAGATGTGACGCAATCAAAGCTAACACTTCAACAGGCAGTATGTAACAGCCTTATATAAAATCTGTTCAGACGTCTATTCTGGTCCACACTGTAAAACTCAGCACACAATTGTAGACACACTTTTAGTATTTCACCTAACTCAACACTAAGTCATTACACTGTGCCCCGCTTACCCACGTTTAACTGTAGTACACTGTGCAATGTAAACTGTGCACTGCTTCCCCACTGTAGCGACCACACATAAATAATAGCTGTTATATTACATCGGAGGGGAGTGAGGCCGCCAAATTGTATTGTGTTTCACACATAGCGTGTAACTGTGTAAGTGAGTGTTATATGTGGTTCTCATTAGAGGGGATATCGTGTGTGTCCCGGAGTGTAACATTTAATAATGTGGGTGAAGTTTATAGTTTATAATGTAACGTTTTTAGTTTATAATGTAACGTGTTTAGTTTATAATATAGTTATGTAATACTATTACATAATGTAATAGCAATGTAACGAAAATTATGTAAAATGTGACATAATTTGTAATGTAAAAGTTCACGTATATCTCAGCTAAAAGTAACAATATGTGTGACGTTTATCTCAGTGACTGTAACAAACATTATGTATTACGAACACAAATTACACACCGATTATGATGATCTCGGACCGAATACCGGTTTAGTTCCATCAATTAAACTTTTAACATGTCACTAGTTTACTGAACCAACTGCCAAAATATTGATTTTAGTGGACCAAAACTGGTCCGGGAATAGTAGAAGTTTCACTGTGAATGTGTGATGGTATGTATCACATAGTGGTAAAAGTGGTAAATGTGGTTAAGGATCTAGGAATTATAACAACCAATATCAGCAAATCCTCGCATCCTTCCGGTGTATATAATCAAATTACATTTTACCTTCAATAAGTGTAAAATGATAATAACAGCACACAGTGGCTGTGTATAAGTTATTTGTGTTAAAAATTAATCCCATAAATTATGTGTGTGGCAACAAATATCTCAAATATCTTAAATATCTCACCGCATATTATAATAAATTATCATATTATTATCTTTGACAGTCCAACTTTGAACATAGCATGTATTATTGGAGAGCATGTTTTCAGTGTTTGAGAGCGAAATGGTCAGAATATATATTCAGGAGGGAGCAGTGATGTACAAATGTCACGTGATTATGTATTTTGTGTCACGTGATTATGTATTTTGTGTCACGTGATTATTTGAGTTTTGGATATAAATTTCAAGGTTTTGTCATATCAGACGATATTTTGTTTGTTAAACTTGGTTGGTAATTTTATTTTCAGCTAATTTTCAACTAAGTTATCAACAGCTAATCGATCAATCACTTACAGCTGGTCCAGGAGTAGCAACATATTGTATCATTGCTCCTATGTTGGCTTCAAATTGGTTACAGTTACTATACACTACTCTCACTAACTTTGAGTAGTAGACACACACTCTCTCTCTCTCTCTCTCTAATAGACTAGTCTCTACACAGAAAAGTTTAACATTCTACGCGGGAAGAAGAGCTTGGTAACCTAACCGACTAGAACCAAACCGTCTGCACTTATACAGCATCACATAACTCAAACCTCCACAAACACTAGTGACAGGAACCCATATGTCCATCTCAACCGTGGACAGAAGTTTAAAACCCTCGCATATTGGACCCACGCAGTGCAAATACCAACCCACTCCCTCCCAATGCAGTACGAAATGTCGTGAACATTTCATGCCCATATAAGGTAATAAAACTGGGCCACAAGTCCACGACAAACTCTGATTTGATTATAGAAAGGAGAATGGGGTGATATAGTTAAAGGAGCACTTAGCAAGATTCTGGTATGTGTTGATAAAAACAAGGGGGCCGGGGGGCGAACAAATTTCTCTCTTTTTGTCTTGTTAGACACTGGTTGTGAACAAGAGTTGAAGTATTTGCTGGCACTAATTATAAGGACATACCTCTCTGCACAATACATTGTGTACACTTGCGGTGACGTAGCTACAATCGTGCAATTAAACATTTAACCTAATGCAATATATGATATTGAATTGGATTCCTAACCTACACTCGGACTGTTCGTTAGCTACATCCCGCAGATAACACGTGACATGACCACGTGACCGCAACACGTGACTACATTACCGTCTCCTATTAGTCAGCACTAATTTATACAAATTCCACGCAGGACAGAGCTGGTGCTCGAATTATTACCAAATAAGGTCATGTTTTAAAAGAGGAAAGCTGAGCGCGGGCACGTGGGCAGTCATGTGGGCGGTGTCACGTGACAGATGCGCCCACGTGACTCGGTCCTGACAATTTCATTAGTCTGTTGTGGGGAAGTTCTAGATTTTCTACCTTGCTGCGAACACTACCGGCTCACCCCTTCTTTCTGCTCTCCTGGCGCACTGGTTGGAAGGTGTGTGTCACGTGGCACGGATCCCGGCAGGTGATTGGCCAGTGTCCTGTGAGGGTAATTACGCATTTTGGACTGTGGTTTGAGGGGAGAATTAAAAGTTGTTAACAATTAGAATAGAAGCAGTATGATAAATATATCCTACACACACACACACGCTCACGGTCTCACATCCGCTTAACTTAAAATATCCATACATATCTTAAACATATTCATACATTTCTAACATTCCTAGAGTGTTCCACAGTAGCTTTATTACATAAATGTATTATGAGTTGACACACTCACGTTCAATAAAAGATTATGTGAAGTTCTCACTCAAGGATTAGAAATTTCTACAGATAGAGAATGCCAGTTTAAAATGAAAATTGTGTGATAATGTGAACATGTAATTATGCAGGGAACATGTAATTATGTAGGGAGTAATTAATAATTATGCATCATGTATAATTAATGACGGAATGTATTTGTAGACCCTGTACTGCAGTGCAGTGTACGTGACTCTTGTGCAAAGAGTAGATATTAATTAAAGGATATATCATATAAAATGGTACAGTATAGATCGTGAGTCACGACTCTTCTACTGTACCACTCAAGTGTAATGTGGAGGATATGAACGACTAGTGCACAATTCGTGCACAGTTCGTGCACAATTCGTGCACAGTTAGTGCACAGTTAGTGCACATTTCGTGCAGGTAATTCCAGGAACACAGCCCGCACATCTGGTGTAGTAACTGTTGCTCATTGTGGCTGTGGTCAGTCAGGCTGGGGGTTACACTACGTGTCACTTAAACAAGGAGGAGTAACCAGTGTAAGGTTATTTCGTCATTAAATTTATTTTTTATTCACATCATTTCCTGGTACGTCATCCGGGTCATGCCATACTTCTGATTAAGGAGCATGATTGGTTCAGTGCTGAAGATAGCAGTGTGTGTCCTAAAATGATGTAACTGGAACCTGGAAATATCGCACCTAAATTAAATCACACAGGTTATTGTGTGTAACCATGATAACTGTAATTGCCATGGTAACGTGAGGGGGACTTTGCTGGGGATGTTGAGATTATTGTGATGTAATGAACAGTGGTGACAGTTAACATTACTGTTAACGTTGCAGTTAACATTACTGTTAACGTTGCAGTTAACATTACAATAACAGTTTACATAACACAGCGTAAACGTTAACATTACACATTACACATTAATCGTTACATTTACATGTAATGATTGTGAGAAGTGGGAACATAGCATTCATATTACAATCGACATATATATTATATATATATATATTAAGATGATATATATTATACATAAATAATATCATCTTAAATATTTCAGTTAACATGACATAATATTTACGATTGGGCGACTCCTGTCCGAAAGCGACATCTGTCCGAAAGCTGAATTAGGGATTTCGGACAGATGTCGCTATCGGACAGGAGTCGTTTTTGGCGACATCTGTCCGAATTTCGGATCATATTGTAATTTCGGTTCACATTCGCATTTCACAAGCTCACAGGTAATCTCGTGACGTTCTAAAGCTGATGTGATCCCTTAAGATCTGATCCATCGATACGTGATTGACTAGCTGAGAACAGGATCGTGCTAGCCGTACCCTAACAAGCTGTCGATCACATCACAGGACATGAGTACATATAGGACAGCAGTATGTAGATCACTTATCGCAATCCACAATGGCAACCAATCTTCAGTTTATCCCTGGACGCAAACAAGGCTCGGAGAACCCTATCCTAAATGGCTTCAGATACGTCTTCGACAAGCGAAGTAACGACACCTACTGGAAATGTTAGGAGATAGACACCTGGGCTTCTGGGGGCTACCAACCACAATCCATCCTCATGGACTACGAGCTCGCCATTCACAACGCAGTTGCTTCCGTGTGGCCCTCCACTACCAGACGAGGATGTAACTTCCACTACAAGAAAGCCCTCCTGAAGCATGTTAAGCAGACCAACATCTGGGAGGAGTACCTGACTCCAAACTCTCCTGTTCGGGATTTCTTCGCGATGACTGGAGCTATTGCCTACGTACCGGAGACTGACGTCCCTCGAATCTGGAGACACCTGAAGCCCCTCCTTCCTATAGACATGGCTGAGTTTGCTTCATACTACGAAAACACTTGGATCGGGACATCAACCACCAATCCTAACTTCGCTCCCCACATGTGGAATCAACACGAAGCTGCACAGATGAGGATTCCTCGCTCATCCAACATCGCAGAAGGTTGGCATCACGGATACCATTCAATGCTGTCCTGCTCGAAGCCCACAATTTGGAAGTTCCTTGATTGCCTTAAAGCAGAACAAGCCCTTACAGACGTGAAGAAAACCAAAAGAGACGGGCGGGAACTACCTGAGCCACGTGCACCCAAATGGATCCGTTATGATCGACAACTTCAGAGAATTGTAGATGATTACGACAACTACAGCAACCCTATGGATTTCCTTAAAGCTATCGGAAATTTGACTATGCTTTAGATTTGATTCTGTGATATTGTATTATATTGAATTAATTTATAACATTTAAATAACATTGAAACTATTGTCCAATTTATCGACATCAAATTAAAATAAACTGTGGTAGTAAACTATGGCTCAGATCATATCTCAAATTGGACATGTTACGTATACAATTTAGCAAGTAACAGTTTAGATCATGTCTCTAATTGGAAATGTGTCGTATTGAAATCAGGTCACAATTTCGGACAGATGTCGTTTTTTTCTGGTACCCTGATTCGGACAGATGTCGCTTTCGGACAGATGTCGCTTTCGGACAGGAGTCGTGTTACCAATATTTACAGTTGTGGATCGAACTCCCAACAAATTAAGATTCTGGGCGTTAATGAAGTAATGAAGTCCAAGTTTATCATCGTTTAGCTGAAACATGTTATAACTGAATGCCGAGATGAATCATTAGAGTGTAGACTGTAGAGTTTGGTTTTAAAACGGTACAACTTCGTCACCAGCCGCAGAAAAACTTCGTCACGTACAGAGATCACTTACAGAGACCACGTACAGAGACCACGTACAGAGATCACTAACAGAGACCAGTTACCACGTGCAGAGAATAAACACAGGTAATGTTTCGTAACGATTGATCACATTTATTTTGAATTTATCATCTGATTTATTCCTCAATTTTGCAATCTGTTATGGATAGTGGAATGCAAAGACTATTTACGATTTGTGTCGCTAATTAAATTGTCTGATGACCTTTTGAAAAGAGAAACACAAGAGATATAGTCCTTTGTCAAATTGGTAAAAATAACCAAAAAAACCACCTAATATGAGCAAGCGAGTAACAAATTCAGAAACTTATATTTGGCATCATTGTATATTGTACTCAATCATCATATTGTTATAGCATTTGAAGCGTACGTGCTCTCGTTGAAACGATAGAAATTTAAGATAAGAAATCCTGAAAACCCCAAAATCTAAATCATCAAAATTGAAGGAATTGTGCAGGAATTTCGTACAAATTTTCTGACATGAACAAACAACCGATTATAATTATATAATTATGCAATTGTATAATTGTATAATTATATAATTATGCAGAAAAAATCTAACACCATAATAAAAGACTTACCCTCGCCAATTTCAACATATATATCCAACTAATATTTTATATATTTTTAAAAAGTGGTGAGTAATTTCTATACATTTTGTCGAACGTTTGAGCTAAAATTGAGCCCCAATGAATGAGTCATCATCAAAATCATTCGTACACTCATAAAGAGCTCAAAAATCAAGCTGTATATTGCAAAAAATAGTAAATTAATTTTAAATAGCCTTTAAAAATCAATTTTAATACACTAAGTAAAGGCCAAATGGAAAGCATCAAGACAAACTGAGCTCAAAAAAGCCACAGTCGACTTGCGAGAGAGGAAACATAATTATTGATGGAACTATAAAATAGAGGCGAACATACCAATATACAACATTCAAGTCCAGACCAATTTAACAACTAAAACCCTCTTGAAGAGAAATTGCTCGTTGTTAAGGGACAAGTACCTTACTTAAAACTGTAACTCAGTAAGGAATGTACCGGGTGAGAGCAGGTAAATACCATCTGGTCCTTTATTGGTGTGCTCCATGCCTGAAATAAGAGGGTTAAACCTGATAAACTTGATAAACTTGATCACTTATTAGTTATTAATAAAAGTTCAAATAATTTAGATAATGCCAAATAGTATTGAACAATATTTTTAAAAACTACTTAAAGAAAGTAGTACTATGTTTACAGTGTGTCAGTTTATCAATTAAGTAATTAAATAAATACTTACATTCAAAGAGTACTTGAGAGACCAACAATACGATTAACATTCTGCTAGTTTATCCTCAATAGCATCATAATCCTGTGCCTCAAACATGTTGGCAGTTTGGATGTTGGCAAACGAATTCAACATAGTTTTGAATCCCTCCCTGAAAATAACCGTTTTTAAAAACATTTCCTCATCTCAATAAGGAGCTATCAAATGCAGAAGGAAAACTCTTGAAATTTGGAGGGGGTTCTTGAAACTTATAAATGACACGAAATGTTTTATTAGCAGGATCTTTCAAATAACATGTCTAATCCGTCTTCAGCTAATGGAATTTGAAATATTCCAAAAAGATTAAGCACTGATGGTGCACATACCATGCGCTGGAGTACACCATCTTTTGTCTGATCTTGCTGCAGGTGTCAGGAATCCACTTGAATACGAGGACTTTGTCGGTGTCAGCGCCACTACGCTTGTTCTTACACACGTAATTCATTACTACAATACAGGGTTTGTTCTGAAACTGGTCCTCCTGCAAGTTGAAAGATTAAAGCAAAGTAAAATAAAAGTAACTAAAATAAAAGTCAGCTTATCCATCATAGCATCAGTTAAAAAAGTTATTTAAACATTTATTGACATGATTCTTGGCAAAAATTAAAATATATGCTAACCTCGCAACACAGTGATCTGAGTAAATCTACTGTAGTTTTACCCTCGGGTAAATCTTTTGCGTAAACCGTCTTCTCGATCCTGAATTGAAATTCATTAAGATCAAAAAGTGTTTATTGGTGAAAAATGTAATGCAGACAATAATTGTCCTGAAAAGATAAAAATCACGAATGAAAACTTTCGCATAATAAGAATGAAAACTTACTCAGCAATGGTCTTGCTCATCTGAAGAGTAATGACAACCATGATAGGGTCTCTTTGTTTTCTCATGGTTTGGAGCATCTGAGTATCTTCTTCGTTGAGGGAGTAGTCCAACTTAGGCATGGTTGTTTTGGACTTGTGAGTCTAGCTAATTTTTAATTGTTGTTATTTTTATTTTTAAAGTTTAGGAACAGTTTTTTTCGGTGATTTAAACCATGTTTGCCTGACATGCTTTCATAGTTTGATTCAATAGGTGACACAGTAATGTAACAGATTAACTACAGTTGGTGGCACTATGGTTTGAAGTGAGTTTGACATGGAAATTGAAGTGAAATTGGCAATCAGTTGATTCTGCTAAAGAAAGTTAGCTTCCACTCAAAACCTTTATTGATATTCTCTTTTTACAGACTTGTCACGAACTATTCAAGTTGTACAGGAAACAATGAAAGCTAGCTACACAATGCACTTAAATGTTCCCCTCCTGGACGGGCAAAGGAAGACTTCTCTGAAGACTTCTCTAAAGACTTCTCTAAAGACTTCTCTAAAGACTTCTAAAACCTTTTAAACTATTTTCACAACTACAATTAAATACATTTATTGAGGATACGATGTAACAGAGTCAGGGGGCGCACCTTAGGGGGGCGGCATTTTCCTGGATTGTAGTCTGATTTCACGGAAAAAGCGCCTTATTGGTTACTACCCTGTCGAATTTAGCGTTCGGTGGACGTGAAAAAAATATTTGGGTACCATTGTTGCTTCAGGGGGCGCAAAAAATACCCGACCTTTTTTTTTTTTTAATTATTTTTTAGGGTGGCAAGTCCCCATACATATCATCGTACTCCGATAGTTTCACTGTGTCCTAGTTTTTGATCAAAATGAACGAATTCATCGAAAACTGGAAAATCTTATGTCGAAAAAACAATGTCGCTCAGTCCCAAATATTCTGGAAAAATTATAAAAGGGCAATGTACTGATAAGTCTGATAACTACCTCTCCACTCAGACAGAACTCAGAAAGAAACCATCTTGTACTAATCATTCATTTCAGGTGAACATATACAGGCATTTTCATCATACTTTTGAACAGGAAATCAGTAGTTGTTATGACAATCGATAGTTGTACTCAGTTCCGTTCCAGCCAATTAGACCCGGCTTTAAATGATCACCTGAATGGAAAAATAGGTAGAGAAAGTTGTTCCAGCACCGAAGGATAAAAAGAGCAGTACCAAAAGTTTTGACATGGGAGATCTTCATCCAAAAATCCTGAAGCCCAACTGATAAGAACAAGATAGAATGAATCATGATTGCACAGGTCATGCAAATATCAACGGGGGGATCATACACTTAGTACCGTACGTGACGTTGGGGGGGTGGGTCATATTTTCTTCCAAAAACACAGTTAGTACATGGTAAATTTCCCAGAAAAACAGTTAGTACATGGTACAAAGGGGGGTCTCCAACCCCAAAAAACCCATTTTACCTCAAATATCAATTTTGGGAATGGGTTTTTTGGGGTTTGAAGTTTTTTTGAATTTTTTTGAATTTTTTTCCATTTCCCCCCAATGTTTCCCCTTTCCCTAATGTTTAATGAGCTGTTTAAAGCAATTTATGGGTGGGTATCTTATTTTATATACTAAGACACAGTTAGTACCGTGATTTCTCAACAGTTAGTACCACAAAAGCCGGCAAAAGTCGCGAAGGGGGTGGGTGGGTCTTAATTGACAAAATTCCAAAATTACACTTAGTCGACGTCACGTACAGAACTTAGTACCTGATCCCCCCGATATCAACTTAAACAAAGCTGGTTTGCCTGCTACAGGATCACACAAAACTCCACCCACCACAGAGGTTTGAAAAAAAACTTCACCCACCACAGAGTTTAAAAAGCGAGATTTGAAGAATAACTTTTAGAACAGTAGTTCTCACAAAGTTTTTACATGCTGCTCCAATATGGCTGAATGATGACCTTGACACTTCCAAAGACTGTTACGTTAAGGTAACACTCACCATCCTCCATCTGACCTCTTCCTATAAGATGGTAACTGTAAAATCTATGACAAAAGCACTTATAAGTAACCCATTTAAGCAAGGGCTCATCTTGCAGCTGGAAGAGGCAAATGCCCACTAAAAACAACACCTTATTAACGAGATACGTCAGTTTCTAACGTAGACGGCTGAGTCAAGAGAACTGAAGAGAAGCAAAATAGACCTTCTGACAAATGTCCGAATAAAGAGTATAGTCAGCTACTAAAAGGAAGAAAATGCCCACTGTAATATGGACTTTACTTCGAATAAACATACCTAGTTGAACCAAACAATAAATCCGAGTGAGGTAAATACTGATGAAAGGAAGTTCTTCCCTCCACAACCAGGCAGAAGCACCGACACAAAACTGAATACCCTTTAACATGGCAGCAACATTACTACCGTTGAGGTAAGATTGGCCAGCAACTACCACCCTCTATATCCAAATAACCAAGTTTAAGACAACAAAGACCACAGAATCTTCTCTTGTTCGCTGTACAAGCCGTTCCTACATAGCTTAAAAGCCTTGCAAGAACACTTCACCAGCAAACAACCATGCTGGTCTATTTTAAGAGGTGGTTATAATGAAGGCGGTATACAACTTGTATCAAATTCCGCCGAATTTGTATTATATAAACATTATAACCTGTGAACCTGGGGTCCTCAGCCAAATAAGTTTTCGCCTAAGATAAAACTTTGGTCAGCGTAATAAGCTCCGATTGAGTTGACACAAAGAAAAGGGTTGTTTAAAGATGCGAATAAAATAATTTTACAATACAATAGATCGCACGTAATCCGATAAGCAAAATGTTTTACAATACATTTTTTGGAAAATGTTTTGCAAAGCGTAGACCAATTGTGCATAACTGATAACGTATATTCCAAGTCAGACTTCCAAATTTTGCATTTTGAATTAAAATGAACAGGAATGATACTTGTATAGATTTTTTGAAGTGGTGCAACTATTATTAAATATCACGCGCCTGGTCTGCAGTTTATTTGTTATTACATATTAACAATTTTAAATGTACAACATAAAATTACCTCTGGGAAAGATATGTATCATTAATCATGGAATTATTTTGTAAAACGCGCAGTGTTGGTCGGGGTCGCGTATAGTGTTATCAATATAACAAAAATAAAAATAAAATGTTGGTAATTATTATTTTTTCTTTTTAAAAAAAAACCATTAGGACTGTGGTTTCAAATTTAAAAAATTTGAGTTATAGACAAAATTCAATGATGTAAAAATGACATATCTTACTGGGCCGCGCTCAGCCTGTCATTCCGCCTTATCTCTCCCTGCGGTTTCTTTGCGTTCGCGACTATACCCATTTGTGATTCCACTGTGTGGACGCAGGTATGACAAATCATATATTTTCGTAAAGTACATCCTCTGACTAGGAAATCACAAGTTTAATCAGTTCTGGGGACTGTTCCTGGACAGAGTTATGACAGTTTAAAGCTTCCGCGCCGCGCAATAGCCCCAAAATGGCTAAAAATGTACACCGTCGTAGAATAACTTTGCGAAGGGAATGCGCGAGCACGAGAATATGATAGTTAATATTGATTTTCGGCCCCCGGAACGATAGCTTAGTTGGCTAAGAGGGCGATTGACCGTGCTAGCTGAGGGTTCGAATCCCGGTCTGACCTTTAATTTAGTTTGAACTGAAATAAGTTGTTTACTATTTTCATCAAAAAGCTTCTCTAGTGTTAAGTTAATATTGATTAGTTTATCATATTACAAGTTGTACTATAGGATGAAATGCATAATTAGAAATGGGAAAGCAGCTATACGCAAAGCGTCATTATGCTACAATATTATAGTAATAACATTGTTTGTCTCAGATTATTTTTAATACAAGAAGCGACCAGCATCGCATCTTCATCGATTAGTTCGGAGTCGTCGCTACATTGATTTTTAATTGATGCTATATAGCAGATATGAGCAGCTTTAATCAGTCTGATTTGGTAGGTTTTGGGCTGGGCACAGTTTGCTAAGGATTCTGTTTCTATCTGTTGTAAAACTTGATGGTCTGCTGTGAAAAGAACAAGGCAGAAGGCTCTGGATTGGTCTTTTAAATGCCTTTCTCAACGACAATCCCTCCTTAGCAGTTACTTATATTACAACTTTTTGTTCGGACTATTGACATGTAGTGTCTGGAGAAGGAGGGCAACAAAGGAGCACTTCTCAGTTGTACAGTGGGCATTTCTAGACGCTGCTATCCATTACCTTCGACATCTGAAACAGATTTTAATATAAGCAACCAATTAATAATACGGGTGAGACTTAAGTTTCAGTGAAATTAAATCTGACACTTGTGTGCAGTAATGAGAGAAAATCCAGTGCATCTCAAACTGCTAAACTTGGCTTACTGTTTGAGAATCGTGACCTGGAATTGTTGAAATTCCAGCCTCCAAGATCAGAGTTGCTTTTACGTCCTCTTAAGAGGCTATCGAGATTCCACACTGTGTATGCTCTTTTCTCTGTACTTCCGGGGGTTGTATAAACCTGAGAAATTGAACAGTTCAATACCAGAGAGAATGCTGAAGACTTTGAAAGTTCTGCCAAAATGTTTATTTTCTATACACAAATCCGAATTTATCTCTTTAGTGGCGATTTTAGACAACATTTACCTTCTTTCGGACTAAACTTTGAAACTGAATTGAAGTTTAAATGATTGCCTCTAGAATGATATAGACAGCTCAGGAAAAACACCACCAGAAGTTAAGAAATGGTGGATTTTTAAAGCAATAAGCTTAGATTTTGAACAAAATCATTCGACGCGAAAGCGCGGCTTTACGCGCGCCATTTAGCGCGCGCGAGTTTAATTGTCTGAAAGGGCTGACATTTCATATTTGACCAACAGAAAGACAATGTGACCGACATGAGATACTAAAACTCTTTCGATAGACTAAAACTCTTCTAGACTGTTCTTTATGGCGGGAGTTTATGAAATTTCAAGATTAAGGTCAAATCCAGACTATCTTAAGCTTTAGAAAATGTTAATGACGCGTAATGCGTATACAATTTGTACGCGTAAAAGGGTGTTGACAACCAATAAATACTGGTGTCGTACACTGTCAGACACCTTACTTCTTGATAATATATGTATAGGTTCAATCTTATCAGCACTGATCTGTTGAACATAATCATTCATGACCCGTATCTAGAGACATATCTAGTTACATTTTGATATGGTTGGGATATCAGTTTCACTTTCAATTTATTAAAACCCACCTGAGTTGTAGAACAAGAAAGTGTAGAGGAAATCTTTTAGCTTGCTGTTTTTAAATGGAGGATATCTGACGTCGTTAGCGAACTCCATACCAGCGTTCCGGCAGTGCACAGATTTGTAGTTTGTGAAGCGTCCTGGAGGCCAAGTGTTTAGACTTGATTGTGAGGTGAACAGTGATTGTGTGGATGAAAGGAGATGTTTGAAATAATATTTCACATTAATTTGTCTATTTCGATTACATTAGTCCAAATACCATGGCAAAGTATGCTGGTTAAATTCTTGGACCGATGCCAGGACTCACCGTCTTTATTTTGGAAGGAGACATCCACTCCTCCAGGTTTCTGATGGTGTGGCCTATTTCATGGTCTGTGAAACGAATATCTGTGAAGTATAGTTCTTATTCTGGCTTCCTCATATCCTTAACCACTGCTTCCGCATCTAGTCAGTCCTGAGGATATTACTGGATAATGATCAAGTTTAGGAATAATTATTACTGTTCTGTAATCTGTTCACTGATCACTATTTTTATGATATAAATTAAAGTTGAATCAAGATCTTAGATGGTTGGTCTATGCATTCCTCTCTTATAATTGTATATTAATGTTAACTATGATCTCGCATTTATCAATTATCAGTATCACTAAGGTTACTGAAAAGGGGATAAGCACCTCAGGCTATCCCAACAATTGCGGGAGAGTATTCAGTACCCCATCATTATATCGCTAATTTCTTCGGTATTGCGTGATTTTCAATCAGGTGCACTGAATAGTGAATATCGACTTTATCTTTTTCAGTTTTTGAGCAATCATCCTGAAACTTTGCTCACGATTCAACAACTTTTGCTTTAGCTCCCGAACCAATCTCAACTGAAAATACATACATTACACAGATCTTAATAATTTCGGGTACATAGATTAAATGTTACAGACTTTTCTGATCATAGCGGAAATGTGACACAGATTTGAATAATTTCGGGACAAAAATGAAATGTAACAAACCTTCTGATCATGGTGGAAAATGGAAATGTGAGAGACACAATAGTATACAGTACGCTGCAAGTTCTGTGAATAGGGATTATATTAGGGTTTCTCACGATTCAACAACTTTTGCTTTAGCTCCCGAACCAATCTCAACTGAAAATACATACATTACACAGATCTTAATAATTTCGGTACATAGATTAAATGTTACAGACTTTTCTGATCATAGCGGAAATGTGACACAGATTTGAATAATTTCGGGACAAAAATGAAATGTAACAAACCTTCTGATCATGGTGGAAAATGGAAATGTGAGAGACACGATAGTATACAGTACGCTGCAAGTTCTGTGAATAGGGATTATATTAGGGTTTCTCACGATTCAACAACTTTTGCTTTAGCTCCCGAACCAATCTCAACTGAAAATACATACATTACACAGATCTTAATAATTTCGGTACATAGATTAAATGTTACAGACTTTTCTGATCATAGTGGAAATGTCAGAGACACCTCAGTTTAGTATAATGTACGATACAAAAATGGTAATTATTTACTACTGCACTGAACCATCAAACAAAATAATGTTAATACAAAAAATTTCAAATCAAATAATGAAATCACAGTACGTACCTATGAATAAATTTAATGCTGTGAATCCAAGAATAGAGTGAATATATTAAATAAGAGCTCCAGCTCTAAATTCTAATCCTCTCATATATACAGAAACAGTTTAAGAGAAATTGTACGATTATTTGTATAAGCTATTAGCTAGTACAATTTACGAAGCAGGCATTTACATCTTCAATAAATAAAGCCCCCCACGGCCAGACCCACTGCTTAAGTATAGATAATTAAGTGGTACCGTTTGCTTATGTTAACTAATCATTTTAAATAACAATTTAACTGATCATATTTAACATAATTGCCCGCCGAAAACCACGTGGAGGTGATACCTTTTTCAGCTTTTTATGACCTTAAAACATTGAAAGTGTTCTTATATGTGAAAGATCATTATGTAAGAGCTATGTTAGCTATATAATAGCTAATAAGGTAAGACTGAATCAAATTAGAGTGTCAATGTTTTAAGATCAAAATTATTTGAATAAATTGACAGAATAAATTAGGGTTAAGTCATGTCCCATATACTTGGGCTAACTGTGTGTCATGTTCAATGTTTAAAGTAGTATAAAATTTGAACATAAAGCGGTAAAACAGTAACTTGAATTGTGATTATCGTAAATTTATCTTATTAACATTATACATATAAAATGACTTGAATCATTTAATTAAAAGTAGTTCAATTTACATTAAATATTCACGTATGACTTGGTATTACACAAATACTGAAAAACAAAAGTTATGAAATAGTCAACACTAGACTAGTCTGGGGATCTCTATTCTAAATCTAACTAAATTCATTGACAAGCTGATGACAATCAAAATTTGTGGAATCAACAGTGGATACTATATATTATATAAGCTATACTGGGCTAAATGGGACCTGAAGGGTCTTGAATTATCTTGAAACTGACTTTGTACTTATAGATATCACTCCCTTTTATTAGAAACAACTATAGTTGTTAAATACTAGACCCCTTAACCTTAGCCTAGATCCCCAGACTAATAGAGGAACTTGAAGTTCGCATATACTTACGCTGGTAGCTCTTAAAAATGAATCGAGCTCATAATCCTCGACTAGCCTGATCACAAATCATTTACCTTACAAGACATATTTATGGCGGCCTTATTTGCGACGACCGAAATTTTGGCGGTCCGAAAATATGGCGAAATTGAACAAAAACCGTCAAATTTCGGACGTCACAGAAAATAAGGGTATTTTTCATCATTTTTTGTGACAGTAAGCAGTAAGGAAATTTCTGAAATTCGGTAAAATCATGTTCAAACTTAGTCTGTATTAAGACTGTAAGACTTTCATGTTAGTACAATGTACATACATGTATTTTAATGCAAATTTAAACTGTATTGCTTGACATTCAATTCGTCATTGGTGTGGTGATAATTTGTCCCAAGATGCCAGAATTTATTTATTTATTTTACTTGATATTACTTTTTAGAAACAAAATAAAGCAGTGAAGGCACAGTCATTGAAATAAGCTAAAAGATAATGCGACGGATTCTATTACGACGACCGAAATTTTGGCGGTCCGAAAATATGGAGAAATTTTCGGAAAACCGCCACATTTCGTACGTTATAAATATGTCTTGTAAGGTAGAATGAAATGTGCAAATACATTTTTAAACATACAACTAGGAGGCCAACTTATGAGCGACTAAAATCTAAGAGGTATTCAGATAAATATGTGCACTTCAAGTGATATATAATATATAAAACAACAACAATTTTACTATAATAGTATTATATTATAATATCTGCAGGGCAACCTACACCTTCCCTGGATTTAATATGATGTCTAGCACCTTATTCCTCAACAGGGCCATTGTATAATCTCCCTGCATTAGAGCTTTGAATAAATTAATTGTAAAAATATGATATAATATAACTATGATTTAATATTGAAAAATGTCAATAAAATAAAAAACCAAATAACTGTAATAATTGAACAAGCAAAATGACTTAAGTACTACTTATACTTAGTCAATAAAAATGTCAATAAAATACAAAACCAAATAACTGTAATAAATTGACAAGCAAAATGACTTAAACACTACTTAATACTAAACACTGACCACTTAACTTGAATAATACCTGAAATAATCATTAAAACAGACCTTCGTCAAATTCAGTTAACATATATCCATGCGCGTTTGATTCTAGGTAAAGACTTTGGAGCGTGTATCTACATGCAAGCATGCGCTTCTGCAAAATTACCAACTGTTCTTGAGAATGGGAATTTATACATGATCCAAGTCTACTAGGATCTATGTCTGATTCTTCTTCATACAAAGTCAAATCGTTTTGGTCTACTTCTAAACTAAGGGTTTGAATTTTGTCTTGGAGTTCAGTAACAAAGTCATTTAACTTATGGATATGTTGTCGAACATGCGTAATGTAATTTTTCTGTGCCTCATAATATGGTGCCATATCTTTCAATAGGGCAGGTGGATACTGTTTTTGTATACTGACCAATGACCCGACAACCATATCGAATATTATCAAGTCTTTGTCAACGTCGTTGTATATTTTGGCTAGACATCTAACTTGAAAGCTATTTTTCAATCGCTTATAATCCTTATGATCTATTGCAGGCAATTTTTCAAGAAGTCTTTTAAAAGTTTGGGGCAACTGGATTTGAGCATCATTGATAGTTTCTATCGAAGTTTCAGATAGAATCTGGTTGGATATATTGATATTAGTACTCTGATCATGACACACAAGGTGTTTTCCTGAAACTAACTCAACCAAATTTTTGTAAACAAGCCTATCATCTTGACTTTCAATTTTGAATTTTATGTTGTTGTATATGGCCTCTTTTGTTTCGAGAATTTTTGAGATACTGGAAACTTTGATGTTGTTGATACCAAAGGGAGGAAAAAATTTACCTTCACAGACTGAACAATCATCTGCAGCGCATCCACAAGACTTATAACTGAACACAAAAAAATCCTTTTGTGCAGTAGATACATATCTGTCATCACCATTGCAGACTAAAAATGGAGAGAGCCTTTGTAAGAGGAAAGGAAAATCTTCGCACTGTTCAATGAACTTTTTAGAATATGAAATTTCTGGGCGCGGAGAATTTTTCAGAAAATTTGTCATCTTTTTCGAGTACCCACTGCTCATATTACTGAAGTGAGTTCCATGATAGTGCCTAGTTGCCTCTAACCGCCTCATGACATGCAATAATAGCTGAGGTTTTGAGTGCTGTTGGTTCGTAAAATTTCTAACAATGTTTTTTAACTGCCGAAACATGTCTTCGTGACGGCCTGCGTTGAAGCTGATAGAATTTTGAAGCTCAAATGCAATAGGCAGGTAGTAGATTACATTCACACAGTAAGTGGACCTAATGATTGTTTCTTTACTAAATCTTGGAAGAACATTTTCAAGACTTTGTAGAAAGTAAAAAAGCAAAAAGGTCAAGTTATGCAGCCTTACAGCTTCGTAAGAATTCCTTTTAGACTCATGCTTATAGCCGTAAAGTTGAAGTTCGCACAATACCCGATAGTAACCAACAACAGTACATTTCAGACATTTCTCAATTATGGATATAGTGAATAGATGGCCACATTTATGACATTGGTCAATCAGTCCAGAGGGGAAATATTTCTCTTCAAGATCTTTACATATATCAACTAAAGCTTTTGCCAATGATTCAGCAGATTGTTTATCTTTAAGCAAATAAAGCTCATCTCCTGTTTTGTGTACTATAGCATGGATTGCTTTAAGGGTACTATAATCATTATCATTAAGGTGAATAGAGCCAGGAATGTACTCCAAAGATTTTTTGAGGAGACCTTTCAGATCATGTAAAACCTCTAGTGGAAGTACTGACCACTTGTGTAGGTTAAGGAGGGATAGATCAGTATAAGGATGATTTGATAACATGGCTGGCATACTTTTAATACCACAAAGAAATTGTACGTGTTTTTCCCTAGCATCCGCTGCATCGACAAAGGGTATTTTTGCCTTTTCGCAATACAATCTAGAATTAATTTCCTGAAGATTTACATTAAGGTTATCTCCAGGTTTATCAAAGAAGTTTCCTTTGCTTGCAATTAGACGCTTGTCACTAACTGACAAGTGATCATAGGTCAACAAGTCTTTGTATGAAGCGTATTGCGAAATATCCATAGGTAGGGAGCACAGGCGGTATGGTCCGCTCTTATTTTGGCCATTTTCACTACATCTAACAGGGTTGTCCCCAAAGGAAATTGTGAAAATATCGTTGAAACTTATACCATTTACTGATTTTGGAGTAGATAATGTAAGGATATCATTCAGGCGCATTTTATCGAATTTTCGCTCCGCCTCAGTGGTTGATTTCGACAAACCAAGCACATAAATTTGTGGAGTCTCAATTTCTTTTTGCATATCGTCCTTGTCCATGCCAGGAGGGCACACATATGTTGCGATATTGTAAATTATTTGAAACGTGAATTGAACATGTGATCGATTCGCTATGGTTGCATGGTCATACCATATCCCAATCTCTCGGGTTGTTTCGTATTTTCTTACCAATTTTTGCAACTCTCCTTTTTCTAAGTTTTGATGACAGCTGTTTAATATTCCATACTCTTTAAACATTTTCAATATTGTTGCCTTGGTCAGAGTGCTGTAGTAGGAGGGTTCTTTAGCGCGAAGGTATTTTTCATGTTTATGAAGAGTAAACTCGCGTAACTCGTCGAAAGTCACTTTGCGTAATTCTAAGTTGATTTCAATTTTTTCACCAGTTACGTGATGGGTGGCAGTGATTGTTTCTGCCGATTGTGACTGACCTATCAAAATTATCTTATCTTTGACAAGGCGATTCATCTCAGCTATTGCAGACTTTTTGTTAGGAAACCGTGGAAATTTATATTTGCCAATCAGTTCGAATTGCTCTAGTTTGGCGCGTCGCCGGAATCCAATTTCAAAAGCACTGAACAACGTACTAAAACGATCTTGATCCCCATTTTCAAGCTTTTTTATATGATGCATCACTATTGTTTGGGCATAGATGCCTGGCCGAGACGTGCCCCCACGAGATCCTATGATCTGATACTTTTCACCTAATGCCTGAAAGAAAGTTTTCTGCTCAGTACCAAATTCTTTGATATGTTTTTCATAATCTAACAATAGAAGGTTAAAATCGAGTTCAGGAATGGATGACTGTATGTTCTTCATCTGTACATTAGGATGCAATGCAATAATTTCATCAACTGTTTTGTGTACTTTTTTCGGTTTGCAATATAACTTTCGGTCCAAAGATACTATTTGGTTATTGGGAATGGCTGTCGCAAAGTATAGAAGCGCTGACTGTTCGTTAAGGTTTTTCTGAAAGATTTCTAAGTTTTCGGCTACTTGATCTGGAAGATTTTCAGTGACTAAACTGAACTCATCGAATGCGGTATTGTTTAAATTTGATAACAAAGTATGCACTTCTAGTGAGCTTTGACCGGATTTTAATCTAGATTCGTACAATTTAGTTACAATAGATTTTAACTCTGTGTCAGTTATAGGATCATCATTTTGAATGCAAATTTTGCAAGCAGCGTCTTTAACAAATTCTTTCATAGAGAGATGCTGTTCGGAAGAGCTCTCGAGGGTATTTTTTGCGAAGGACCTGAATTCTTCATCAAGGCTACTTAACTTTATTCGCATTCGTGCAAAAAACTTTTTACAAGATGGTCCCTTGTAGTAGCCTAAGAATTTTGGCATTCTATCTAAAACTGAAGATTTTGTATTTTCAAGATGAGCAGACTCCTTAAACAAATAACCTATAGCACATATGCAGTTAGGCAATTCGTTTATACTTTCAAGTTTTGTTAGACATTTTTTAAGTAACTCGTTCTCTGTCAGTGGAGCATCAAATATATTTAATCGCTCTCTAACATCAGAAACCATGGCCGTTACTGGAGTAACGACGGAAGAACTTGAAGGTAGAGAGGATCTTTTGGAATCAGGGGTGAAAATTTTTGGAGTTCTCCCAGGTACAAAATCACAATCAACAGCCATCGAAGAACTAGAAGAAGTCTTAGGAGTTTTACATGCGACTGGAGTGTAATTTAAATTACGAATGTTGATTGTACCTTTAACTTTTCTTACCTTAGGAGTTGTTTGAACATCCAAATTGGATTCACTGATCCTACGTTTGTTTTCGTTGATTGGAGTTGTATCCATGACTATGTTAAAAACGAAATTTGACGAAACCTGATCGATTTAAAAGCATTTAAATATAAAGTAAACAATAACATCAACGATTAATACA